AATAAATCACTATACAAATAACTAGCAGCACCAAACAATATACGTAATACTAGTTACTAGCGAACATCCACATAAAATCGCGTATACTATTAGTATTAATAAACAGCAAGTCTAAAAATTAAAAAAAAAATTACGATATGACTCGGCAGCTATATCCCCAACCTCATTTAATATTTAATACAACTATACTAACGCCTTATATTATAGAGGTTAATATATATATTATAATTAATTACGTACAATAACCTCGAACTATATCTAACTTATTATAATATAGGATATTCTTAAGCTCCTTCAATATAAACCTAATCTATATCTCAATAAAATATAGCATTTCTTAGCCAACGAATTAAATATATATATATCGTAGTCCGCTATATCAAAACAATTAAAATCTTCCAACTAAAGTAATAAAAAGATAATCTATAAGGCTTCCCAACGTAATGAGCTATTACAATTAAACTAGCTAAAGAAAGTTTCTAAATTCTCTACAAAAATATACGTTTTTTATAATAAATTTAATATTAATAAGAAGGATAGCGTTCATCGTATAGGATAAGCGCTAAAAATATATATTTCTATAATTAGAGAACGCACTGATTAAGGGTAAATAATTCTATCTACTACCGGCATTAACTATAAATAGCCTTATCGATATAATATATTATAAGAGAATAATGGATATAGATAGTTTTATTATATAATTAGAAGAGGAAGTACTCTCTAAAATAAATTCCTTCCCCGCCCGATACAATATTTTAATAATAAATAACGTATTATAGTATAAATACCCCTCTATTAAAAACGCGTACAATAATAGAAGTATACTATTTTAATTCTTACCACTATACTCTCTAAACTTCAACCCTATTGAAGCCTACTTTAGTAACGTAAAAATATATATAAAGTAGCAATACTAGTAGGCTAGCAGTAACCAATTAAAAGAGGGCGAATTTAAAAGCTTCCTTAAAGGAATAACGTAGATAGTAAAATAAAAGGTCAATACTATACGAAGGTACTACCGCTAAACGTACGTACCTTTTAACGAATTTAATGAGGCTAACGAATTAAACGATTATATTATATTATATAAGGATCAATTATACGAATTACAATTAATAAAGACGGTAGTATAAAATATTAAATTATATAGTAGATATACCGAATTAAATATAATTAAAATCGAAGGTAATTAAATGCCCAATCAAATAATATAAAACGAAAGAAAAATAAAAAAATAGCGTAAATATATAATAATAGCAATCATAATAATAAAGACCCCTAAAGTACTAGAAATACTATAAATCCCTCAAAGTTAATATAATTTATTAGCGTAATATTTATCTATATAATAATCCTTTATATATATAATCCCCCTCTTTAATTTATACATTTATCGAATTTTGTTATCGTTATAATTATTATCTAATTCGCTAACAGTTACGTCAAAGTCTTTATTAATACGTAGACCGTCGTTTAAATTATTCTCCTTATCGTAAATAAAACTACTATAAATACAATTATTATTATCGAAATTTAAAGGGGTGTAATGATTTTAAATATTTTACTATAACGAATCTAGGAGGAGGGTATCTATATAATACAATAGTTAGCAACGTAAATAATTATTAAAATATAAATATTTACTTTACAGCTATAATAACGCGCTAAAGTTAATAATTTATAATAGGAATATTAAAATTCCCCGGGGCAGTAGTAACGACGACTGTTATATATAATTTCACTCGAAGTAGAAATATTCCTTAATCGCCTTCTAAATTACAATATAAATACCCTCGTCGATTTTATAGTTAAAATACCACTTTATAAGAAAATCGTATATTTAGTAGAAGGATAGCCGCCCGGCTATAAAGGATTTTTAAATATTATAGAACGCGTTCCTTAGTATATTATTTTTACTAAATTTAAACGCGTATCTAAAAATAAACTACTTTATAAAACTAGCGACGAAGGAATTAAACGGTTGGTCTAGTAATAAATAAGGTAGAAGGGAAGAAAATTAAAGGTCGCTAATACGAAAAGTACTAACGTAAGAAGTACTAGCGCAAAAGGTGCTAACGCTAAGTAAAATAAATAAAATAAATAAAGTAAGTTCAACTGCCAATCCTATACCTATAATCCTCATACTTATACCCCTATAATCGTTAAAAGGAGGTACTAGAAGTAAGGTAGGTAATACTCCAACTCTATTATTATTACTATTAACTCCATACGCGTTACTATTAATTTAATAACTATTCTAAAAGTTAAAATTAAAGATTTAAGGCAGCGGTATATAGCCTCTTCTGCGTTTCGTACCTGGGATAATATATAGTATAAATGGCTAAAATTATTAGTAATTAAACTATTTAAATATTAGCGTGCCGGCTTAAAGAATAAATTATTATTAAAACGAACTAAATTACCGCGAAGTTATATCAGCGGAAAAATAATTAATAGTAGCCCGCTTACTAATAATAGCACTAGCCTAATTAATAAAATTCTTTACTATTAAAGGGAAATAGTATTTTTAATTAGGTATAATATAGTACTAATAATATTCTTACCCTTTATAATAATTCTTATACTCGCGCCCAACCTCATATCCCCACATTTTAATTAATTTATTATATAATAAATTAAATAATTCTCTACCCTCTTCCTAAACCTTATATTAAATTTCGTACCGGTTTTTAAATTTGTATAATATCGAATTAATTATTAATTTTCAATTAAAACCAACTATCTTAAACTATCTAAAAATACTAATAAACGTAGTAGCGGGCTTAATAATAAATATAGATAGCTAATAGTAGGAATTAATAGATTAAAACCACAATTAGGACTAGGACTATAATGAAGATTAGAAAATACGGTAATTAACTAACTACTCTATAAAAAAAGTAATTCAAAATAGAATAAGCGTACTAAAGATAAAAGTAATACTTAACCATGAGAATCCCCCAATAATATAAATATAAATAATAACCGCAATGAAATATCGTTCAACGGATTACTAGAGTAAACTACCTATTACCTTCGAAATATTATAATACTCAAATAACGCGGTTAAATTGTCGCAATTACCTCTCTTTAGGATAATATAATTTTAATAGAACATAGTACTATTTGTATTCTTCTCTTATATACTAACCGATTGATCTATATATTATATAATAATACTAGGGTCTATACTAAAGAGATTATATTCACTATAGGCTACTTCTATAAAATTACCCTCTACTTTCTGTACTTTAATCGCGAACTCGATATTAAAATCATTGTAATCCTCTATATTAATATTACCGCTATCGTCTTTCTTAATTCGAATATAATTAATCGAAACGAAAATAGGTAATTTGCCAGGCCGTATAAGGAGATTATTAAAATAAGTATCCGCTACCTATAATTTATTATATATAAGTAAAATATATAGAAAATCGGAGATCGGGAGCAGCCCTCGAAGTATTACTATAGTATAGAATTTTTAGGCTAATTACCAATAAAATAGGAGAGTAAAAAATATAATACTAATTTATTCATTAATTTTAACCTCGTTCTATAACCTCTACGGCGAATATATATACTTTTCGTATAATTTGCGGCTATTACTTATAGTCGGTAATAAATAGTTTTTATTCTTATCGTCAGCTAGGATTTCGTAATAATTTAGGAGTTTAATTATAATTTTAAAGAGGGGCGGGAGTTCGAAAGGACGAAGCAACGGCGGGAATTCGAAAAGCCGAAGGAATTAAAAGAGGAATAATCGAAGTAGCTAAGGGAGTAATCGAGGGAATTAAAGGGGGAGCGGTTACTAAAGAGGAAATTAGAAGTTTGAATATAATTCGTAAGCTACTCCAAGAAGCGGCGGGTATAGAAGAGACTATACGTTATTTACTAGCAATATTAACTTTCCTCGGTTTCGAAATATTATAATATTATTACTATTTAATTTCAAAATTATTATTTCGAATAATAATACGTAAATTAAATTTAATTAATTAGGCTAGCTAAGACTCTATAGTAATTATACCGCTTATAGTACACGCCGTTCAAGTATGAATCTTTTCGTTATATCTATTTCCATCTTCTAAACTGGCATTTATACGATTATATGGGCATTAGGTATTAAAAGCCGCTTTAATCGTCAGAGTTCATCCCTATCATTAGGAAGGGAGCACTTAAGAGGCATAATTAAAGCGGGAGCGGGCGCGGCAATACCTAATGCAAATCGTATACAGTATGGACTAGCTTATTGACTGGGACTCTTTAGTATTGACCTCAATTGATCAGGAGGATCCATGCGAGTATAAAGTAGTAATCGGATTGTAAATACCCTCAAGATTGGTGATGATATAGGCGTTTGAAGATTTTACTATTGTCACGTATCGACGGATTTACAATGTGTATATATATATCTGGCGGCTCAATTCAAAAGTGGGGACTGACACCGCGTTTTCAACGCACAGTGAACACCCCACCAAACATGACGCTTGTAGGCACCATCCATCGTGCTGGACATGTCGATGAGGCACAGCGGGGACGTTGTTGCAACGCGGCTGCTTCGTCTTGACATGTGCATGTCTTTGAAGCTGTCAAACGGATTGTTTCTGTATCGTTGTTTTTTGAGCTGTACGTTGCCTTGCTGTTAACCAACCCAAAAAAAAAAAAACCCAAAAAAAAAAAAAACCTTCACGATTTGCTCCTCTGAAGGTATCGCCAGCTCTTCACCATAGTCAACATGACCTGTGATCTCTCAACTCAAACAAAAAAATGTCTCCAACAACACGCCTGTCTAGACTGTTCAAAAGTCCAAAAGTCTGAATGACATGAGAAAAGTCTTGGCCCAAGACCCCTGAAGCGCGGAGGGAGACCTTCCGCTTCCCTTTTAGGCCAAATCCCCACCATGTGAGCGCGGCTACGGCCAGCTTCAGCGACACTTATCAGCCCCAGCCCTTCCCTTTCGAGCCTCAAAGTGCTCAACTTTCTCCGTACATGCTAGGAAAAGAGGTATAATAATCTTTGTAAAGATATCAAAGTCTAGTCAACGCCAAACATGGAGATACAACAGATGCCATAATTCTCAAGTCAATACATGGTAGGCTATGCAAAACGAAGGCCCAAGAAACCGATCCGCCGACGCCAGTTCTAACAACCCTTCAAAAAAAGCCCTTACTTATCAACATGTCCCCTCCGTCTCCCAAAACGTGGGATGTGACATTGCTCAGACCAAATAACAAGCAAGACACATCTGGTATCATAGGTAAGGCAGGAAAGAAAACGCCTTCTCCCAGAAAATACGACCCAAAACAACAACCCATGCAGTCTCAACAGGAGCAACCATTGTTCCTCCTCCTGCCACTGGTGAGCGTAAATACTTCCTCCCATTCCCTCAACCCCTGGACTCCTCTCCTGGGCTTGCGCCTCCTATTTCTTGTGCCTTGTTCTTCCCCGGTCATAGAACTTTTGATGCTCGCTCCGTCACTCGCACCACCGCTCCATCCACCTCCGTAGTCGCCGTATTGGATCCCACTCATCGGATCATCTGGATCAATCTCACCCAATTCAATTTTGGTCAAGATCATCCTCGCCAGTCTCCCAAACACCTCATCAACACCCTCGCCGCTGAAGGCGCTGACCTCCATCGTCACCGGTACGTTGACTTTGCTCGCCCATCGACTCGCCTCCACAGCCGAAACCTCTCGTCCATCGGGCGCCACCGTAGCTCGTAGTTGCGACCCGAGCCCATACCCATAACTCGTACCCGTACTATCTCCTGGGCGGATCGTGGACGTAGTAGACGAAGCGTAGCTCCCCGCTTGCAACGGCGTCCCGGCCACGCTGACGCTCGCGCTCCCCGTATGCACACTACTAATCGTATACGGGATGCTATGCGCGCTACTACTGCTTGGTGTTGGTGGCGGTAGCGGGCCGAGCAGGTCCTCGTCGTCGGCGGGTTGGCCACCCCCGGCTAGGTCGAGTTTGTTGCCCACCAGAAGGAGACTTAGGTTCGGCGAGGCGAGTGCGCGGGCGTCGTTGAGAAAGGGCTGCAGGTTCGAGAAGCTGTTGTGGGATGTGATGTCGTAGCAGAGCACGGCTCCGGCGGCGCCGCGGTAGTAGGAGCGTGACACGGAGCGGAAGCGTTCGGTTCCGGCGGTGTCCCAGAGTTGTAGCTTGATGCGCTTTCGGCGGGCGCCGGTGCCGACTTTTATGATTTTGGAGGCGAATTCGACGCCGATCGTTTGTGAGGAGAGGACGCGCCATTCGCTTTTCACGAAGCGATGAAGGAGGCAGGATCTGGAAGGTTGAAAGGTTAGACAGGACTCAGGGCTGTGGGACTGGGTTGGAGATGCTTACTTTCCTGACCCGCTTGGCCCAAGGAGGATGATCTTTGCGAGGTAATCGTACATGCTCCCGAGTTCCTGTACCAAGAAGTCCTGTTAGAATAGAGCTGCCAACACGAGTCCACTCTAGAGCATATTACCTGCTCTCTCCCAGTCCCCGCGCTCTCCTCGCTCGTAGCGGATGACCGCCTAGGTCTTGTCATGGTGAATGAGTGGTCTCGGACGTGTAGTCGAGAATATGGCTTCTTGAATCCCCTCGATTTGCTGCTGACGGACGCTTTACGTCTGTCGATAAAGCTATGGTGCGCAATGGGTCGAGTCCCGGTTGTTTCTTGCCGCAAGATATGCTATCGAGCTGCTATCTTGGATGACGAGCTCGAGCTTTGTCGTTATTCGAGGCGTTCACGTGGTCGGTCAGACGGCGCGTATCTGTGTTTTTCGATTCTCAAATCCGAGGAATATGTCGAGCAACTTGAAGAAGAGCGGCGCGCATATGTTGCCGTAGATGGTGAAATTCGTCGGTATCTGGTTTGTAGGTTTAAATCATGGATATGCTGTCACCCGGTTCGGCCGCTGGGGGCTGGCGAGAAACAAAGTTCCACAACGTATGGGAGCCTGGAAACGCTTATCGCGGCAGCAAGGAAGGGACTTTGATAAGGACTTTGCAAGCTAGAGGGACGCCAGGCAGGGGTCGTTATGGTGTTATGATGGTCGTTTGTCGTTTGTTGCGATGCGACAGCTGAACTATCAAAGGTGAAGAGCACTCGACAATGGAAAAAAGTCGGTCTGTAGGATCCATATGAGGGTTGCTTTCACGGGATGCAAGATCGATGAATCGGGTGATGCGCTGTTGCTGCTTGCTTCAGGTTGCCGCTGTGGTGGATTTCGCCCAACGCACAGGCCACCGAGCCCTCGAGGCAGGGTCCCTGAAAAAGCACTGACACGAACCGCCCAGTAGCGTGCCGAGGCACTCCATGTCTGTCAAAGCCGCGGGGGAGGTTCCCGATTCCGACATCCACTGTCCGCCCGTTTAAGTCGGGATCCTCTTGTTATCATGACTTTTGCCGGACATGAGGTAACTTGAACTATTTCTTTCCCAAAAGTGTTGTGTTGATAACGAATCTTCAAAATGATCATTGACGGAAGAACATTTGTCGTCTCGGGCGGGTACGTTTCAGCGATGACATCACATTCCAAGTCGAGTGGGTTCCTCTCACTGACAACAACTTCCAGTGCTTCTGGCCTCGGCCGTGCCTGCGTTCGGGACATCGTCAAATCGGGCGGTAATGCTGCCGTCCTTGACATGAATGAGGAAACCGGAGCTGCTCTGGTCAAGGAACTTGGATCTTCCATTCGCTTCTTCCAGTGCGACGTGACCGACACCGAGAGCATTGCGTCCGTCGTGAAGTCGACGGTCGAATGGATCAAGGAGACTAAGAAGCCTCTCGGTGGAATCATCCCCGCTGCCGGAGTTGGAAGTCCGGGGTTGGTAAGTATCTCTACTATGTATGGTGTGTCCACTTTGGATTTAGACTAATACTCGCCAGATGCTTGACAAGTCCCTGAACCCTCTTTCCCTGTCGTCCATTGACTTTGTCCTCTCCATCAACCTCCGCGGTGTCCTCGATCTCGTCCGCCAGTTCCTTCCTGCTCTCGCTTCTTCCCCCACCTATGGTCCCGACGGTGAGCACGGTGTAATCATTATGGTTGCCAGCTCGGCCGCCTTTGATGGTCAAATGGGCCAGGTTTCTTATGCCGCCAGCAAGGGCGCTGTTGCGGCCATGACGCTGCCCATGGCTCGGGATCTGTCCCGTTTCGGAATCAGAGTCGTCACCATTGCGCCGAGCATGTTTGACTCGGCCATGACGGCCATGATGAGCGACAAGGTGAGGACGGGGTTGAAGAAGGCGATGGAGTTCCCATCGCGGGCGGGTCAGCCAGAAGAGTTTGCTTCCCTGGCCAGGCAGGCGATTGAGAATGTCATGTTGAACGGTGTAGTTATCCGGCTGGACGGCGCCACGAGGATGCCCAGCAAGCTGTAACTAACATCATTCACTCTGGTTCCTCACACGACTGCGCTCCGTTGTCCGTCTTCAGTGTCTCCTTGGTGTGTCCCGTTCAAGGGAAACTTCAACGTCGTGCTCCGGCTCTCTTTGCTTCCATGCTGTAACACTTAGCGCAGTCAAAACTGTTTCGACTTGGATTGCATTCTATGCATCTTCAGATTTAAATTTCAGCCATTGCGCATCCACCTTGATGTGGATGTGGATGTAGATGTTTAACAAGGGACTCCAGGAAACCACATCCGGGGTTGAGCCGGGCCGCCGGGGAGCCCACGGGACGGACAAGGGGTAAAGTGGGGGCCGCGTGCCAAACTACCGACGGTTCGGAACGCGTTGCGGGGTATGTATGGATGGAGCTCGAAGTGGGGCATCCAGATGACGGCATCACCAGCGCCGGGGGGTCGGTTTGCGTCGGTCTCCTTTTGAGCCAAGTTCATCCCATCTTCCCCCCTGACCGTGATATCGAATGTCACTCTTGTCCACATCACTTAGGCGCCCAGACTCTTCGCAACAATGTCTTCTTCTCCACTCAAGGTCGCCGTCCTCGATGACTACCAGGGCATTTCCGAGCCCAAGTTCAAGGCTCTGGACTCGTCCAAGTACCAAGTCTCCTTCTTCAAGGACACTCTTCGCCCGTATAACCACCCCGACACTACTCAAGATGTGAAGGATCAGCTCATCAAGAGGTTGGAGCCATTCGATGTCATCTGTATGTCCCTTTCAGACTTCAGCTTTGCCTCCTGGGTTTAAGCCCCTTACATGACATTAACACAAACACCAATCTCACAGCAACAATGCGAGAACGCACCCCCTTCCCGCGGGAGCTCATCTCCCGCCTCCCCAACCTCAAGCTCCTCCTCACCACCGGCAACCGCAACCTGGCCCTGGACCTGGACGCCTTCAAAGAGCGGGGCATCCCCGTCGCCGGCGCCGTCGACAAGTCCAACCCAGGCAGCGTCGGCTCCATCAGCACCACCGAGCACTGCGTCACCATGATCCTGGCCGCCGCCCGCAACATTGCCCAGGACGACCTTGCCGTGAAGACGGGCGGGTGGCAGACCGTTCCCGCCGTCAGCCTAAAGGGCAAGACCTTGGGAACCGTTGGCCTGGGCAGACTCGGCGTGGCGGTGGCCAAGATCATGAGCGTCGCTTTTGGCATGAAGGTCGTTGCCTGGAGCAGCAACCTTACGCAGGAGAAGGCCGACGAGCAGGCTAAACAGGCCGGTTTGCCGGTGGAGGATGAGAAGACGGGTGAGAAGACGTTCAAGGTTGTGACCAAGGAGGAGCTGTTCAGCACTGCGGACGTGGTGAGCGTGCACTTGGTCTTGTCGGATCGGTCGAGGGGTGCGATCGCCAAGAAGGATCTAGAGATGATGAAGAAGACGGCTATCTTTGTGAACACGTCTCGCGGACCGTTGGTGGTCGAGGAGGATCTGCTCGAGGTGTTGGAGCAGGGCAAGATCAGGGCCGCGGCGCTGGATGTGTTTAACTTGGAGCCGCTGCCGTTGGATAGCAAGTGGAGGACGACCAAGTGGGGAGAGGACGGGAGGAGCAGAGTGCTGCTTACGCCCCATATGGGATACGTTGAGGAGGATACGCTGTCCGGGTGGTATGATCAACAGATTGAGAACTTGGAGAGATGGGTGAAGGGCGAGCAGTTGGCTCTTAGCTTGTATTAGGTTGGTTGGGCTTGCAGTAGAAGTGTAACTAACTATCTCTGGTCCCGTCCCACAGTAGTATATGTTGAATGTCGCGGGTCGTACAATACATTATACTCCATGTGCTGTTCTCGAGAGATCTAGGAGTCGCTTCCTGGCCACTGTTCTCCGGCGACTATACTGGCGGCGGGCAGACAGGCGCACAGAGCTACCGACTACACCATAAATGCGGCCCGCTAGACACCGTAGCTCAACATCTTGGCCTCTTCGCCGGTCTTGAATCTTCCTCAGCAGGTTTGTTGGCATCGGATTTGTTGGCCTTGTCCTTGTGGTTGGGACCTCGTGTGAGTCGGAGGATGAACTCTTTACCGGGGGCAAATTGTCTCACGCATCTCTTGATATAGTGAAGCAATGGATATGCTTCCTCGTAATCCGCCTTCGTCTCGACCATGATTATATAGTTTGTGCTCGCCATGGCAGTTACTGTGTATGCCATGTCAGCCATTGCGCCCGCCTTGGGGGGTACGTCGACGGCCGCTTCACCCTCAATACCACTTGGACCCGAGTCGCCTTTCTCCTTCTGCTTATCCTTCGCGGCCTCCTCTCTTCCCATCATGTAGTAGTTCCAGGCTGTGGATTCGGGTTCTCCGGGGAAGTCGATGGGCTTGAGATGATAGATGGGGCACTTCTTGTAGTCTTTCTCCTTCGGGTGAAAATATGCCCACAGAACGCAGGATATGTGCCATCCTACGTAGGCCTCTGTTTTAATTTTAGGTTGTTTGGCGCGACTCGAGATGTCATACAAGTGATTAAGCGCTGTTCGGGTGGCCTTCTTGAGCGCTTCATCATACTTGGCGGGGTTGCTTAGTTCGGGCGCGACCTTGAGAAGGTCGGCCATGACGATGGAGCACTGCAGTTTGATGATGTTCTGCACTTCGTCCATGGTGGGCGCCTGCTGCACCCTCATCGGTTGTTGCGGAGTAGTCATGATGTATGTTTGGTATTGGCCTGATGATGGGAAAAAATGGAATTAAGTTGTTGAGAAATTGGAATGACCGTCTAAGATGAAGCCTAAGTTCGCCGTTGTCTCAAAATCTTGGGTGGTGATGTCCGCAATGGGATGTTTCGATGAGTCGTGACCGGAGAGATCTTGAAGTACTGTCGCCGTTTCACGGTTCAACACGTCGATCTCGCCAGACCAAGAGATATTGTCTGACCTTAGGAAGGGCCAATCGACTCGGAATATGTTGCTAAGGCGGTTGACAGGGTTGTTGAATAGTTAGTTGATCGAATAATCACCACTGTTGGAAGAATGAGTGTTTAAGTTTGGCGTTTTGTGGTTTACACGCAGAACACGCCAAGCATCTTCCCCTCTCCTCATGAACCCTAACCCACCATCACTTAAATGCCACTTTCAATAAGTGCGTTGCGCCGTTACCCAGTAGCACATATATACGTTCAGAGGCAAAATGGAAAATGCATATGTGTATTGAAAAAGGAACATTCAAAATATGCAGATGGAAAGCACGTTGAGCTGCCAGGAACGACATAGAGTAGGACAACTTTGGAGAAGCAACAAAAAAATTTGTGTGCGAAAAAGGAGACTCCACCCGAGCTTGGTGGAGAAGATGTTATTGACAAGAGTGGGATTCGAACCCACGCCCTTTCGGACCACGGATTTCTCGGATGAGGATTAAGGGTTAACCTTAACGTGGCGCCTTAGACCGCTCGGCCATCTTGCCTAATGTTGGAAGTTCGCTTTAGAACCTCCTCTTCTATATGAAGGTTGGGCAGCCATGGTCGGGACTTTCGTTACTCGTCAGGACTAGAAAGGGTCAGGCAGCGCGAATAGCAAAAGTAAGGGCGATTAGCAAAATTTTAGTGTACATTGCCCGCCTGCAAATTTACTAGTAAATGGAGGTACTCCGGTATAAGTGCAAATCGCTAAACAAGATGAAGCCACACATTGATTCTCAACCACACAACACGTGCATCCAAAATGTAATCATGTAGGATTGTGCGCCTTCTTGTTCTCTATTTAATGATGCCTTTACTTTTGTCATACCTCTTTTTTTGGTGGTGCAAATCAAATTGCAGTGTAACTACTAGTGTACATCCATTTGCTAGCAATTTGGGTGGTAGAGTAAGTACCTAAGCTTTTTTGCTAATCGTTCTTACTTTTACTATTCGCGCTGCCTGACCCCATGCTGGCGCATAGGGTTAGAGACGTTTCTAGTCCGAAAACGGTATTCAGCGCAGGCCATTCTAGTATCCAGCGCAGGCAACCCACTTTTATCGCTGAGTAAGCCCAGCCAGCCACCCAGCCGCGCTAGCCAACCGCCCAATACACCGTATACATCGCTGCCTAACCCTCGTCGCTATCGCGTAGTCTATTAGCAATCGTTAATCTTATACGCAATTGAATAAAACTATCGCAAAATCTTCTCTTAGTATTAAACGATTATTTATATCGATTATTTATCGTCTTTATTATTATTTTATATAGTATCCTCGAACTCGCTATATTACTATACCTCCTCGCCCGCCCGCAAATCGCGTATGCGCCTACGTAAATCAGACTCCCAACCGACTAAAATAACTAGTACTAACAGGATTTAAATAGAATCGCTAATAAAATACCCTCAAATACGGTTCGAACAATTATTCTCCAATGGAGTATAATTCCCCTTACTAAAATTTAATCGCTATCAATCCGCTACCGCCCCTACGAAAGAATATAATCGCTATAATCCTTTAGTAAGTACGCTATTATTAAATAATAGACTCCCCTACTAACGAAATTACTATTTATAGCTAAGCTGTTTAATACCGAAAGTAAAATATTCGAAGCCCTCTTTACGTATTATTACGAGCGCGATTTTATTATTATATAGAAGGGATTTATTAATAATAAAAAAGACTATACTAGAATCGAATAGTATAACCTTCGCTATAATTATAGCAACGTATATAAATTAACAAATTACAGTATCCTTAATCAAGGCTCGAAGGTTATTAGCTACCTATACTAAATAAAAGTCGTACGGCGTAAGAGGGAGGGAAATAAGTAATTTACTAAAGAAATAAATAAGAATTATAACTATTATTATAATATTAAAAACTTGCCCGCTAACCCGAACTATTATTATTAAATACGTATCGGCTACAAGAAGGTGATCCTCGCCGCAGTCGAAAAGTTATTAAATATTATTAGAATATTATCGAGGTAGATATCTTATTACCTTAGTAGCACCCTCGAGAATTTTAATAGCAATAGCGAAGCCGATATCTAGCGAATTGATAGCGATAATCTAATCGCTAATTTATATAATCGTAAATTCCTCATTATAGTATAGGAAATCTTAAACCTCTAAAAATAATTCCGTAAAGAAAAATATAATCCCTTTACTTTTACTAAAATATTTATTAACATACTAGAGCAGTATAAAGACGAATACAGCATCTATCATTTCATCGATTATAATAAAGAGAATATTCTTAATTATCAATATATACGGTACGTATTTTAAAGCTTTAAATAATATATAGAAATATAGAAGAATCACCTATACATTATACTAATTAATAATATATATAAAGTAAATAAAATCTAGTATTTTTATACCCTCTTTATTATTACCCTTATAAATCTATAGGAGTCTAAGCTAACTCTCTTTTTTTATATATAAGTCAACCACTTCAACCTTCCCATTTTAAATATTACTAATATTAATACTTTAGGTCACAATTTCAACCTCGTATTTAATCTATCAAATAGCGAAATATAAAAAGATTTTATATAGTACCTTAAATATTTTAAAGAATTCTAAGGAAATATATTAAACCCTACTATTTTTATTACTGACTTTTATAAAGGGTTTAAGAAGGTAATTATCATAATATACCCCGACGTATAGTACCAACTCTATATATAGTACGTTATAAAAAACGTAAACTATTATATTAAAAAGAAATAAATTTAGCCAGGTCCGCCAAATCTGTATAATAGTAATAAGTTAATTCCCGACCTTACCGTATTAAATTTCCCGCTAACGCGCCGGGATTTAAATAATAATAGCCCTAACCCTCCATTATACGAAGATCTAAAGTAAAAAAATAAGGAAACTATTAATAACGTTGATAAGAACCCTAATAATAATAATCCGGATAAAGAAGACAATACCGCCGCTACAAACCGTTTAATAAAGGAGGAAGAGGAGGAGGAGGGTATAGGAGCTATTAAAAGAAACGCTATTAAAATAGACTGCCCACGTACTATACTACTAGCCCGCCCGCATATCATATTAAAGTATAACCCTAATCGATAATTCTATAAAAATACGTATAAGGGCTTTCAAAATGCCTAAAAGCGGGTTATATATGCTAATAACGAAGGTTACTATAAAAGAATATAATAATTATTAATTAATAAATTTCGACGGTAAATTCGTATATATTTAATACCTCCCTCTACCCCTCTTATTTCTATAATAAATTATATACCTTTTTTATTAACCTTCGTTCGTTATTATAATACTTATACTTTATTTACGTAAATATTATTTACTATAAATTCACGAATTTAATAATTATATTATTTCGAAGCTTAGGAATTATAATATTAGAGTAATTAGCCGTATAAAGTCTACTTATAGAGTTATTAAACGCTTCCTTAAGAACCGTTTCGCTTCTTTTAATTAATTATACGATTAGATCTATTCTATTTACGCTATTTAAAAGGATCAGTTTATAATGAAATTGAAAAAAGTACGGCAAACCTTTTTATATAAATATAAAAGAGTTAAATTCTTTAATAAATTACTATTACGGGTCTTATCCTTCTCCTTTAAATTAATATAGTAATAATACTACTACATATATAACAATTAATTTAAAGACCTAATATAAACGCCGTATATTAATTATATAAAGCGATTTATAATATAATATAGTCTTCCTTACAAATACTTAATATTAGAATTACTATAGCAACGGCTATAAAAAGGGTTAATTATTAGGGACATTAATAAATACTAATAATTAACTTTAAATAAGAATAATAAATTAAATAAAATTTAATAGCGTAATTACAATAAATTATTTCGCTTCTTTATTATTATTAATATATAATTAACGTTCTACGCTTATAGAAATTCAAAAACCGACTCCCTTACCTAACTGCTAATAATAAACCTTTATACCCGACCTAAATTTAAAGGATTACTTATATAGAGTACTAGCGTATGAAATATTAAACCCGAAAATCTACGAGGCGAGCTAATTTAAAATCGGTCAATTATATAATTAATCTACCTAACCCGCTACGCCTATCGACCGCGACTAATATAATAATAACTATATACTATCCTATAATAAGGAGCTTCGCCAGCTAATATAATAAAATACTTAGAAAGGAGGGAGGGCACTAACACTTCGTCACCAACGCTAATCTCGTATTAAAAGGACTTAATAATAAGTAAATTAAATTATACGAAAGGATTTAAATTATATTATTACTAAAGGCATAGTTCGATTTATACTAGTATTAACTACGCTAATATTTTCTCTAATATTCCCGCAAACGATTCTAATTCCTTCGCCCTCGACTTTTTATCCCCTAACCCCCTTTTAATGATTAGCACCCTCTCTATCTCTCTATCTCCAAATTTATTAATAATTACTAATTTAATAATAGCCGTCTTATGGCTATATACTAATTCCTACTAATTTTAACTAATTTAATTATAGGGTATTAACGCTTATTAAATAATTAATACTTCGCCTAGAATAGAATAACTCTCCCCTTTCTAATTGATAATAAGGAAATTTATAAAGCTAAATTATATTAATAATATAATATAATTAAATTCTAATTAATATAGGACGGCCTTTAATACTTCTAATATATTTATACAAATATATAGGAGCTCCCCAATACCCTCTCCAATACTCTAAGTAATACTTTGGGTATAGGCAATACTTACATAGCAAGTATCAAAATCAAAATAAGTACGTATACTCTAAGCATTTACAAGGCGGGTAATATGAGGGATAGTAATTATACTAACAGGAACCGTATCAATACCCTCCGTAGTAGATAAGTGATTGGATTAATAACTCTAAATAGCTTCACGTAAAACAATAACGACGACGACGTAGATCTAGTGATGCGCGGGCACTAAAGTAGCGGTATACAGTATACGCGCTTCTAGTGGCTAGGCGGCTGGCTAGGCTTACTCAGCGATAAAAGTAGATTGCCTACGCTGAATACCAAAAGTGCCTACGCTAAATACCATTTTCGTTTCTAGTCCTGACGAGTAAGGAAGGGCGGCATGAATACAAGTGCTTGTCCTAACTCCTTCCAGATGAATTGTTGAGAGAATAGGTAACAATCTGGAACATTCTCGATGCTTAAACCCCCGGCAATAAGCAATTCATCATCTTCTGCTCCTGCGACGACGTGATGCACAGCGTCATCGCAAGTCGATAAATGGGTTTGAGGACGACAAAGGACGAAAGCAAGGGGCCCGCTTGAAAAAAGTGTAACGGCGTTGATTGGTCGGTACCTTGCATATTGCCCGGATCAATCCACTTTCCCCCTGGATAAGGGTCCTTCTTTCCTTCTTGAATAAAGACAAATGCGAACAATGACAACCGTCTGGCTTCCACTTTCCAAAATAATGCAACCGCAACGACTAAGTCCAAATCTGATGGGGTATCACAGAATCTGAGGGTATCGATACTTTCATAAGTCTTCATTCGCTATCACGGCCATGCCGTTGAATTGACTGACGCCTGACGGACTCCCCCGAAATGCTAATTTGGAGCAGGTGGGGTCTCGGCTACCGGCATCCTACCCTTCTCGCACGTCGCCGTCATCCCCACCTCACCATTTTCGCCCTTCGGATGGGTCGAACGGTCGTGGATCGAGCGGCGAGACCGTTGTTTGGGGGATTTGTGAAGACTTGAAATCGATCTTCGATTGGGCCGATAATCGTCGCATGTCCATCTCGAACTGCCCATCGCGACCCAGCTGTAGCAAGCTCTGCTGGTCCATACTCTTCCTGTCTGGAAGCTCATCTAGAAATCGCGAAAACAACTTGTTAGCGGGCTGACAATAGGAACCCAGGAAAGGGCAGGCAATGAACCACATAAACTTACCAAACACATTCTCCAACACCGACACAAAAACAAGCAGACCCAACAACGCAGGAATAAACTGCCCATACGACCACTCCAACTCTGAATCATCCTCCATCCACCCTTCTACATGCATCCAAGCTCTCAACCCGACCGACGACACCAGCGACGCAAAGCCAACGCCAATATTTGCCAACAGCATAACAGTCCTCAAGCCCCACGACCACCGACTCTTCCTCGCTCCCTTCCCGCGCCATCGATGCGCCGCCATCGATAAACCCGCCGCAATCAAAATAAGCAAACTCATCAAGAACAGCGCCTGTCCGTTTGGATGAGAATACTGGTTATACCCATCCACCAACTTCAACCCCTCAGCCAGGATCGCGTGCTTGAAGAAACACTGCGCCGGCAAGATCTGCAAGGGCGTATGGTCCGCGACCGAGGGCATCCCCTTGCCTCCGACGGATCGACTAACAAAAAACACCATGCCGGACAGGATGAGGTTGGTCAAGATGGTAAGGACGCGCAGGCCGTCGGCGAGCAGGCGCTTGCGATGAAAGTACTTGCAGTGGACGAGCAGGGCGTTGGCGTGGGTGACGGAGCAGAGGACGAGCCACTGGCCGATAAGGTTGAGGTGGTAGGTCGAGAAGGAGCACCAGGTCTTGAGGGCGGCGATGGAGGTGGCCATGCCCAGGACGAGCTGCTGGTCCGACCACGAGATCAGGATGGTGTCGGCGATGTGCCACCATTGCTTGGCCGAGTGCTTCTCATGGTCGCCTTTGTGACCTTGGCCGAAGATCTCGTGGCATTCGAGGGAGTGGATGAATAACGACAGTAATGTCGAGGCGGCGAAGGAGATGACGAAGCCGACTAAGGTCTGTTACATAGTACACATTCAGCGATTGTAGGTCAAAGGTGGGTCAGATGACAATGATGATGACGACAACAGCAAAACAAACAAAACATATGCTTGAAAAGGAAAAAAAAGAAAAAGGGGAGTGATAGAGTAAAAAAAGGCATATCAACTTACACCAACACCTGCTACATCCGAATTGGGTTCTAGATACTGCAACTCATTCTGGAGCGCGACACTTGTAAAGCCCGGTATGCCGTCCGCTATTGTACTCGTATTGTCACGAAAGCCGACAATGGAGTAGTCGCAGTGGTAAGATTCGCCCCCTTTTGGGGCGCAGGTTGATAAGTGGGAGCCCATTGACCGAATTGACGACGACCGTAAAACGACGACTCACTGCCAGAACAAGAGCGGCATGGATGCTGAGATATCAGGGCAGGATATGTCAAACGAAACGCGACCCAATCCACTGATGTGCTGCTCAAAACGAAGGACTTTTGTGAGAAGGATTGGAGAGAAATTGCGCGGCCATCAGAGCGACAGTGAGAGAACCGGAGGGACTGAAGGGGTAGTGCCTGGGGAGGAGGTTCAGCGCCAGGGATTGTCAGGTACCAAGCAATGTAATTTTAAATTTGGCTGACCCTAGTCCACTTTGGTCCGCAGTGAGCAGGGTATGTCCCCGTCTTGAATTTGATCCCTCGTGGCCATCCGAGAGTCTAACTTGATTGAGCTTGCCTATTGACCTTGAGCAACATCCCCTGGTCCTGGTTGTGATCACGGACATGGGCATGATGTGCAGACAACCGCGGGATGGATGGCGGAGGCGGATCACCCAAATCCATCACCAACGGGCGGACAAGACTGACAACGACGGCGTCTATATTCATCACCAACTTGCAAGCCGCACTTGGGAAAAGTGACACCTTTTTATCTATGTAGGTGAAAGTACCCGTTCTTCCATGTAATAGAACCGAGCCAATGCAACAAATACTGACAATACGTACATACAAATTGCTCTGATAGCATAACCATAACAGACCATCAGAATGAGCAGCCAAACGCTTGGTATCTCGCCGGACCCTTTACGGTGCTTGCAATAATGCGAAAGAAGGCAAATCCATTCAGAAAAAAAGCCATCCAAGCTCACAAGACCATGCGCCCCTTTTGCAAACGCCGTAACCGATGCCCCAACATCCTCTTTGTAAACATCCCCCGACGTGGCTCAACTGGGGGATAAAAGTCAGGATAACCACCCCTTCTCACTATCCTATTGGCCCTTCTTGGATAGAAGCTAGGGTAAATGTGTCTCGAGACGTTTCCATTCACTCCCGAGCAGCCATCATACCCCCTTCTCATGTGGTCGTAATTCTGTACCCGACCGATTCGTTCTGCTCGCTAGCAGAGTTGCTGTCGATCAAGTCCATCCTATTCCTTCTTGACAACCGTGTTTCCCCTTGAAATACCAGATGGTCCGCGAGGGGGCTCGCGAAGTGGCGTATTACGGGGGCTGTAGTGACTCGAATCAGGGCGACCGGGGTAATGATGATAGACCGGCGGCGGAGTGAGCCTTGTACGTGCTCCAAGAGGCGAACGGGCCCGGTAGCTAGCAGAATTGCTAGAATGGCGGGTCGGGGGGGAGCGTGATCTGGCGCGGTCGTTCTGAGTGTCCTTGGAAGGGCTTTGGGAAGGCCTTGTAAGACGAGCCCCCATGGCTAGTCCCTCGAAAAAGGCTTTGCAAACATCAGGACGATCGGCGTAGTTGGGCACCGAGGGCCCAATGTACTTCTGAAGCATGATCAGAAGCTTGAGCCGCTCACTCTCGTCGGTAGTGCGGCTCACAGCAACATCCGAGCTGTTTGGCTCTCGCTTGACTAAGGCCCAGTTTTGGCGAGAGTTGTTCTGGCGAGAGTTGTTCTGGCGAGAGTTGTTCTGGCGAGAGTTGTTTGTTGATGTGGCCGAGGACCCATTGGCATGGTTGGTCGCAGAGGCCTTGGAAGACGCGGTTGGACGGGACCAGCGCTTCAGTTTTCTCCAAAGCTCCGAATCCTTCAGCGCCTTAGCTGCAACAGCCGCCTTTGCCATGTGCTCTCCAATATACAAACCGTCAGATTCAACAATGACGTCTTGGAGCTTAACGTTGAAACTGCACTTGCCGCCCACAATTCTACCCAAAACCCATTCAGGGTTAAACCCAAGCGACTGACATCTCAATGACAGTGTCTGATTAGCGCTTACATCATAGGAGATTGGAGCCTTTGGCGCCAATGAAACCTGAGGCTGGTCCTTCTTCGGTCCCTTCGGAATGTTACCAACTGGGTTGTTGGTAGAGGGGCGGCTCGCGGTGGTGATGCGGGTTTGGAGGGTCTGGTCATTTGCGCGACCAGAGGATCCAACAGGAGGTTTAGCCACTGCAACCGTGGCTATGTTTGCCTTTGCCTTGCCGGGGGCCTGCGATCCCCCAAAGCCCCCGTGCACATCGTCCTTCACACGCTCATGACTCTGCGAGAAGAAAGTATTGCCAGCATGGGATCGGAACACTGGCTGAGAGCCGCCCCAGCTTCCCGGGGCAAGCGGAGTCTTTATACCCACCAAAGGATTGGCCAGAACAGAGTTCTTGAACCGATCCTGAGGTGTTCCCGGCACGGGCTTTGGCCCGGCCGGCACCTGTGAATGGAGGAGAGAAGACAAGTGATTTCTGATGCCCGATGACTCTTTGACGATGTCAACCTTTCTGGGCGCATGGCGAATGGCCAAGGGCCCTTTGTTACCGCCATTCAATGGCGAACTGCCGGCGGTGGGGGTGGAAGCGATTTCACCTGGCTCTGAGACCTTTTAGTATTGAGAGCACAAAAAGAAAGCAGGGTATGAGCGGAAAGAGGTAACAAACCAAGCTCGCTGCTTGAACCACGGTCCGAGGAGCGCAGGGGAGTGAGATTCTGGAACGTAGGAGCAACTTCTGTGGTGGTTAACCAAAGGACTAGAGGGAATGAGCGTGATAAAGGAAGCAGAGGAATATCCCGTACCGGTTCTCTCCCTCCTGACCGACGGGAGCGACGTCTCATTGCCGCTGCGCCCGGTTGATAGTGGGTATGGCGCGGGCAGCTGGGCTAGCAGTCTGTCAATTAGATCGTCGTCTGGCATCTTCGTGATGGTGTTGTCTGTCACGCTTCTGTCGTGTCGCGTCGGGAAAAGAGTCCTGATTGCTAAGACGAAGACGAAGGAATGGTGATGGAAACCGATGTGCCGAGAGGAAGCCAGCTCAGATTCTGGAAGCAAGGTGGGGAAAAAAATGATGCGAAGGTTCGGTAGAGATTAGGAAGGCGCTGCCGTCCTGACGTCGCTGCCCTTTGGAATCACAGGTTGCACTGGCTTGTAAGGAAGGTACGAGGAGTGACCGGACAACGAAAGACCGGACGGGGGCCAGGCAGGAGAGTGGGACCGGGTCTGAAATCAACATGGCGAGCTCGGCAATGACTGTATCGTGACCTCTGCCTAGCAAGTATCAACCCTATCCTGTTCATCCTCAGCTTCGCACGATTCAAACGGGATCCAGCCGAACCCAGCCAAGCCCACGGAACCAAGGATAAAATCCGAGGACATGCTCAGGATAAACGTGGAAGCATCAAGTGGAAGATCCAGCAACGCCACCATCCTGTGTCATCAACCTCACATTCACAACGAGACCTGTGTTTTCTGCCTTCTTCTCCTCGTAACCCGTGACTCGAGGACAATCTAGCCCAGGTTTCGTCGTGCGTCATTGCCTCCCAAACCCAAGCACCATACGAGATTGTGTCTGGCAGCCTCAAGCCCAAAGGGCCTTGCAGCTTCCATCCGGTGGACACTGAACCCTGACAACTGCCCGGTCTCCCCGTGCCCGCAACCAAAATAGGGGGGCTCGATCTGACTTCCGAACAATAGGTCGCAGAGACAAAGTGATGGCTATGCATCGTATGCACCACGGAGAGCCCCTTCAGTTGTATCGGTATCCTTGATAGACGGGAAATGTAACAAGAGCAGTCACGTATCGAGAAGCTAGACCATATTTAAGGCGCCCTTGGTGCCAGAGGGCATGTGCACGACACTGGCTGACTGGTCAAGCCCCGGGGCAGCGGATTTTCCATCAGTATCTCGGGGAAATACTAGCCGATCAGGCATACATCGTTCGTGTCGAAGAAAGTACTCGGAAGATGTTGGGGCTTTCCAGAGCCGTTGAGAAGACAAGGACTGGTTGTTCAAGAAACAGAGCCTTCGCACTTGAGTTAGGGCTGTGGTCGCTGCCATATATAAACGATGGGATAGGATCCATGCCAAATGCGATGTTCATGAGAAAGGAAGGAAGGAAGAGATTCCAGTATCCGCGCGATGCCGTACGGGTATGCCATCCAAGTTTCCTTTTAGGAGATGCTGTCGTCGAGTTAAGATGTCTTGGCGAAGTTGACAAGATGCTCAGGCATTCCATGTCAAACGTCGGTTCCTGCACCGATTGGCTAGATCTTGTCCCGCAGTGGGGCCGCTCCAGTCGCCGATGACGGCCCCATCATCATCACCGACGGCGGTCATACGTTCTTTCGCCCGCGGTGCTCAGTTGCTGAACTTCCTCGTCCCAAAAAAAAAGTATTCCCATTTGGCAACTAGGAATGAATCGATGAGGATAGATTTAGTCACAAGAGTATTTGACTGGGGAACAGGGATACCTCCAGATATCGAGGATTGTTGTTGAGGATCAGGGAGACGACAGCTCACTCTTCGTTTCAGTCATGGCGGGTTGCCTTTCGGTAAACGATATACACTTGGGGATTATAGGACAAAAGGTCAAAGTACTATCATGATATTGACGTGTTGTTTGGGGACGATCAATGGCGATTCATCAGCAATCGTCGGTGTGACGTAAATGACTTTGAAGCTATCATTTGTCAGCATCAACACCCCGCCGTTATGATGAGGGGGAGTTGGCAAAAGGCTCCACCCAAGCTATCGCTTACAAGTACAACCCTTAAGTACTCAAAACAACAAAACGAAACTCGATAATAAGCTTTCCTTGCTTCTTCATACCACTGTAATAGCATCAAGTCTTTGCCTGAAATTCACACTATCGATCAAACCATCATGTCTTCAGCAATCGTCCTCGGCGCGACCGGTAAGCCATTCCTACGTTCATCAACCCTCATCAACGCATGAACTAACCACGTTTCTCCCTCAGGAATCACCGGTCGCGAGATGGTCAAAGAGCTGGCCGCCCACCCATCCCAATGGAAGACCATCCACGCCCTCTCGCGCTCCAAAAAGGAGGACTTCGGAAGCCCCTCCGTCCAGCAGCACCACATCGACCTGCTCAACTCCGCCCAAGACATGGCCAAGGACCTTTCATCCATCCCCGACCTAAAGGCCGTCGAGCACGTCTTCTTCTGCGCCTGGCTGCAAATGCCCACGGAGAAAGAAAACGCGGACGTCAACGGCGCCATGCTCCAGAACTTCCTGGACGCCCTCGAAATCACGGGCGCCACCTCCAAGCTCAAGCGCATTGTTTTGGTTACCGGTTGCAAGCAATACGGCGTGCACCTGGGCCAGGCCAAGAACCCGATGCTCGAGTCCGACCCTTGGTTGCGCGACGAAAGCAGGTGGCCGCCCAACTTTTATTATCGCCAGCAGGACATCCTCACGGCCTTTTGCGGTGAGGGAAGCAAGCACCCGGAGATCAGCTGGACCGTGACCTACCCCAACGACGTCATCGGGTATGCTGCCGGTAACTTCATGAACCTCTCTACGGATGTGGGCATTTACGCGGCTGTGAACAAGGAGCTTGGTCGGGATCTGGAATTCCCAGGTTCGGAGATTTTCTATACCAAGTTCGACTCTTTCACCAGCAGCAAGCTGCACGCGCAGTTCTGCGTGTGGGCGGTGCAGGAGCCCAAGACGGCGAATCAGGCGTACAACGTGTCGAACGGCGACGTGCAGAGCTGGCAGGATTTGTGGCCTAGAGTGGCCAAGCACTTTGGGATGAAGGTTAAGGCGGACCAGTTCGCTTCTCCTGGTCCCAAAGATCTGGCGAATCTGGTCCAGCTCACCGAGAAAGCGCCGCAGCCGATCACGATGATTGCGAAGGAGATCGGGCTGGAGGGAGCGGTTCCGCCTAGTGAGCTGAAGCAGAGGATCAGTTTGGTGAAGTGGTCCAAGACGGAGGAGGTGAAGCAGGCGTGGAACAGGCTGGCGGAGAGGGAGGGGTTGCAGAAGGATTCGTTGGAGAAGGCGACTTGGGCGTTTACTGACTTTATCTTGGGGAGGAACTATGATGTGGTGATTAGTATGAGTAAGGCTAGGGAGGCTGGGTGGACTGGGTACGTATTTCTCCGCACTCCTCTTTTTCTTCCACCATGATGGGCATCTGCTAACGTTAGACCTTTGTTATTTCAGATACATTGATACGTGGAAGTCGCTGTCGGATACTTTTGGCGAACTTGAGGCGGCGGCTATCCTCCCCAAGACTCATTGAGCCAGCAACATGTGATGTTGTAGGTAAAGTAGATACAAGCTCTAAAATGCCGCTTGTCGAAAGAATGAAAGAATGAAACCAAGGGAGGACATGTTGTCTACCGTCTTGACATCGAGCGGTAAGAGAATTTGGGTGTAGCAAGACACCGTGAACACTCCGTTTGATATCATCAGTCAGCTGCATGTTTCAATGAAAGTTGAGTGCCGGTGAATAGCAGAGCACAATCAGACATTAGGAAATGCATTTGACTGAATTCGTACTCTGGGTATGTACACCAGGAATTGGTTAGGGTTGGGTATCTTCCATCGTCCATCATCTTCCCTCTTCCATCTTCTTCAACTTCCCAGTCATATTAACACATCATGACTTCAACCTCATCTCGCCAAGAATCACCGTGGAATCATCGCGGAATCATCGCAAAACACTAATCACTCGGTTGCTCCCTAGCAGTCTGCAAACTACCCTTCAACCAGCACCGATGCTTGTTGCCCTTGTCACCGTCCAGATACCCCCAAGAGCAGCCGGTACACCTCTCCATGGCCGCACAGGCATCTATACACTCGGCCATATTGCCGGCGAGAAAGTTGCCGAGGTCGTTTGCGGTGTAGTCCACTCCACACAGGCGCAGAAAGTCTTTCGCTAGCCCGGGGATCCTCTGCATCGTGTTGTTGGCGGCGGGACAGTCAGAGTATGCTGTTGGTCTTGGTTTGTTGTTTGACGACGAGGTTGTGCTGCTTGGGGTAGTTGTTGCGGTTGAGACTGCCGTTTGAGAATGACTGGGAATGATCGAGGAGCTGGGGGAAGGTTTAGGACTGCTTGATATAGGAAGGGCGGTTTGTGAGCTATTATCAAGAGTTAGCAAAGGTAAGGGCGCTGCAACGACTCCACAATAAGTATGCCGTACCTTGATGGTCCAGGTGCTGTTGTACTGGCCGACAACTTTGACGACCTCGATAAGCCAACACCAAGGCCCACACTCAGGGGAAGCACAATAGCAAGCACTATCACCGCTATAATGATCGCCCACAGGACGCCTCTTCTGATTCCCCATCTCTGTTGATATCTGCCGATACAGCCTCGAGAGTCTTCAGCCGGCGGAAGACTGCCGCCGACCGTAGACCGAGAGGCCGCATAACTTCCCTTCTCATGCTCATCGTTTTGTTCTGGCGGCGTTGGTGTCCCTTCACGAAAGAAAGTGTACTGAGAGTCTTCTGCGTTATCGCTTGTATCGTTCCCTCGCTCATCCTCCCGATCATCATCTGCCCAGTACACCTCCGGGGCCTTCCCGGTTTGGTCTCTGACTTGGGACGAAGACGATCCCTGAAGATGCGATGGATCCATTGGAATCGCTCCGAGGCTCTAGGTTTGTGGTGGGTGGGCTATGAGAACCCTGAGGCCATCTCGCTCGCTTGTTGCCGTCCTTGAAGATGTCTCGTCTGTTGCCGTAGGGGATCGGCACCTGTAGTGAACTCAAGATGATGCTGTTGGAATATGTCGCCGGTGTCGTTAGATTGCGCCGTAGCGCATAAACTGAAGAAGAAAGAAGAGAAGGAGAAATCACAAAGACCATCCGAAACGACAGACAAACCATCACTTGATGAGCACGGTTCCAGGCACCTGGGCTGTCAATCTTCTGGAACAGGCGTCCGCCAAGGCCTACCCCGAAGTTGCATTCCCTGTCCGCCGCAATCTTGCGAAATTGCATCGCGACTTTTACGCTTTGACCCTTTGCCCGATCGGGAGTGATTTAATTGCCAAGGTGACATCACATGTGGGCTCTTTCCTCTTCTTGCCCTTCGCCGGCGCCGCCAGACTCCTTTGCTGTGCATTCGACCGATTTTCAGCTTCTGAAATCTCAATGATGAGACGGTATACAAAGGACATGTAAGTATAGCATATGTGCTATAGCAGATGGCTATAGCACATATCATTGTGTGGTCCGATCGTGCTGTGCTGTCTGCAGAGAAGAACTGAGCGTTGAGGCTTGTGGTCCTAGACCAACAATGCAACTGACAATGTCGATGTGGATGTGATTTATGGGTTTTCGGGATCTGCGAAAGATAAATGAGTGCAGCGGAGCAGACTCCAGTCAAGGCATTCTGATACCTGAAGTCCCGGTTGCCATCATCGCTCATAAAGAAGTCAAGAGGACTGGGTGGCCGAGAGTGAAACAGACCCCGAGCGCGCCATGAGAGCAAAACCCATTCCACAAGCAGGCGGATGGTAACAAAGTCCGGTATCATGTGTGAGAATGCAGAACAAACGAACCATTGAACATGAGTATAGGAGAAAGATGATGGATTACCAAGCGCTCTTGGCAAGGAATGACCATCACTCCTCAGTCGTCAGCGGCTTTGACTCTTTGGAGCCTTCCAGTTCCGTGGGTTTCTCAGTAGGTTTTGAAGACTCCGGCTCAGATGAATTCTCTTCCGATGCTTGCTCCGACAACTTCAAGCCTTCCAGTGCTTCAGCAATGTCCGATGTCTGCTTCGATGCCTGGGGGCTTTCTGACAGGGCCGCTTTCCGGCTGCTTGGGATTTTAGGAGCGTCATCCCCCTTCCGCCAATACATGGTCGTGCTGGAAAAGATGTAGTTCATGTCGGGGAAAGGATACTTGGTGTAAGTGGCATCCATCTTGGAAATGGGACCAATGAACTCCTTGAGGCTGGGGTCAAAGTCGATGACCCTTTCCCATTCATTCAAGCCACCGCCGATGAATGCAGTTGGGAGTGTCGCCAGAGCAAGGTAGTAAGTACGAAGCTCCATGTGAATGCCATAAACCAAAGTCTGTTCATCGACCATGGGAAACGCATCTGGAGTATCGGCAACTTGGAACCCAAGTTCGACACAGAAATCCTTGTCGATCTGAGTGAACATGGGCTCCTGGATGACACGCTTGATTTTGTGTTCACATTGAGATTCTGTCATACAGCATCAGCAACTGAAATTTCATATGGCCACAACCCAATGAGCTACCGACCTAGGAAGTCCACAATCGCGCAAAAGGCCGCGGTCTGCATATGAGCGGTTCGCCTGGCCGCAAAGCTGCCATTGCTAGGATCATATGGACCGGGTCCAAAACAGATGGCTTTGGTAATGGGTGGATGGTTGGACTCGGATAGAGCTGTGACAAGTAGATCCTTCAGGGTCTTCCAGCAATCCGATATCTGCCACTCTTGCCTGGCCGTGTCGTGATGCCTGTGAATGTCGCTAACTGTGAATTCGGGGTTTGGATTTGGTCGGATTCCCAGCCCGTTCTCCTTGCTCTCATCCACATCCGTCTTGGGCTTCGGTACATGCCGTATGCGCCCGCGCTTCCGGCTGACTTGACTCCATTCTCCGTCTTGTTGTGTCATTGTTCGAGTTCAAGTGGGATGTGTTGCAAACATTGGCGACTGCCAGTTGGCATCGTGAAATCTGACGCGGGACATGCGATAGGGAATGGATTCTGCCTTATCGGCTTACCGCCTGCCGTTTTGGAGAGTTGCTGACAGAGCCCCCCTTGAATGGCCCAAGCTTCCCTTAGGAAGAGCAGCCCACAGGGGGAAACTGCTCCTGTCATTCAGTGGCCCTTTTTGCTGTCGTGAGCTTCCCGAATCCCGTCGTCCTTTCCACGATCCCGTTATTTCTGCCCGGAGGAGGTGCGATCAAGTCGACTCTCACAGATCTATTTTTTCTCTTCCTCGCACTTAAAAACAGGAAATCATCTCTGCCGGCGGCGATGGGTGGCTTACTCTCCCGCTACAACTGGCTTTTGGGCTGCCACGGCTGGGAAAGCTGACGCTTACGGTCGCACCACAACCCATCAAAACACCTCAAGATATCATCCCCGATGCAGGTCATCATTAACTGCCCTCCATCTTCTAGAAGGCGTCTCGTACCAAGGCTTGCGGACCGTTGCCGTTTTGCAAGGTGGACACGGGGAAGGCGTAGCGCGTAGGAGAGCAGATTGTTTCCCGATACCGACGGAACCTCTTTAACTGAGGGCTTCTGTGTATCACAGGGCTCACAGCGCCTCGCGATGGCTTCAACCGTTTTCATTTGCCTGTGAATGCGACATTCAAGCACCCAAGAACACTGCTGACCTTCACACTTCACAGTGGCATCCAAGTCCAAAGACAAATTGGAAATCAACCGCCAAGAACTGTTGCGGAGGTAACCACCAAGTACACCAGTTCTGGCCTGTGATTGGACGGTTCCCCGACTTTGGCGCTTAACTCTGAAAAAGAATTGGTTGGATCTTGGACGACGGATACGCCAACGGATCACACTGTTGATCGACACTTAAGACCGAGCTGTGCCTTTTTCATTCTGAGAGTCACTCAAATGCCATGAAAGGAACATGAATAGAGACAACTCATGTTTGATCTCATCGTTGACTCTCTTGAGACTCTGTATGCAAATCCCACGATGTTCGATGCCATTGAACGGAGCATGGCAAAGTCCACTCAGCGAGGTGGTAGCGGCCGCTGGTCAAGTGTTGGTGATAGCGTGCAGCACCGGAGGACGAGGCTTCAATCACATTGGCTGGGTCTTTGACATGAGTTTGCTCCGTCCTAGCGAGTCGCCTGCAGCACCGAGGCGGGAACGGCGATCCCATTGGCTGGACACTCATGATCACTAACAGGGGCCTCGACCTCTCTTCAGCCGTTTTCCCCTGTTCTCTCTTTTGCCGTCGTGAGATTCTCTCAACCTTGTGAGGGAAAGCGTGTGCCGGACTGGGGGCCACATCCACTGGGCAGGGGGGCAAGGCGGGACTCAACTCGCTCCCGTCACCCACACACAAGGGCCCCAGTCCTGTGTGCCGACAAGGCCTGGGCGGCTGCGGCCTGGCTGGATAGGGAACACAGGATGGTTCGCATTGGTTCACGCCGTGAGATATACCTACCTGCCATGACCCGGCTAGTCATTCCTTCGGTCTCTCTCCGAAATCCTTCCCTCTCGTCGGCCAAAAAAACCCTTCGATATCAGTCCAAATATCTGACCTGAGACGTCCATCAACTTCAACTCAGTTTCCAGGACATCGCAGCTATCTTGACCAGCATACGCCAAGTACGGTCAGACATCTTGGGTCAGCACGAATTCAGTCGACAGCGTCACGAAAAGCTAGTGTAGGAAACTTGAAAGAAGAGGAGGGCTCGACTTTGGTTTCGGAAGGGAGGAATATCTGAAGACTCCGGTCCTTCAAACACTCGACTCGATCTCATACACACACATCACTAGTCAAAATGCTCACATCAACACTCCTCGCCCTCGCCAGCGCGGCGCTGGCTTCCGCCCACACCGTCATCACATACCCCGGATGGAGAGGCAACAACCTAAAAGACAATGAAGCATTTCCCTACGGCATGCAATGGATGTATCCTTGTAAGTCTCATCCCACCCATCAGTCCAATCAGTCCACATGTGCTCCTCAAACATCATCCATCCCCATCCCCATATCACGCAACAAACCCCAACTAACCATAACCCTCTCTCTTCTTATAGGCGGCGGTCTCACTCTCACCCAAAACCGCACCTACTGGCCCACAACAGGGGGCGCCATCTCCTTCCAGCCAGGCTGGTTCCAAGGCCACGCGACAGCTTTTATCTACGTGAACCTAGGCGTCGGCAACGACGGTCCCGACGGCAGACCCAAGAACATGAGTTTCCCCATGGTCTCTCCCTTCCAGATCATCGGTCCGGGCAAGAACCCGTACCCGGGCACCTTTTGTTTGCCGCAGGTGTCGGTCCCCGCCGGGTTTACGTTCAAGGAGGGCGATAATGCGACGATTCAGCTTGTCGAGTTGGCGGTTCATGGGGCTGCTTTGTATTCGGTATGTTCCATGTTTTTCCTCTCTCTCCTTTTTGGTCTCATTGGCTACCTATGTTGAGGTGCTCTACTGTACTGGCTGGATTGGTGATAACTAATACGGGATCAAACTAAACTAGTGCGTCGACATCACCTTCGTTCCCCCCGGTGACCCGCGCGTCGCCAACGTCAACGAGTCCAACTGCTTCAACAGCACCGACCTCGGCGCCGCCGACTTGTACACCATGAAGATCCTCGAGGCCGGCCGCGACAACTTGGCGGTCACCAACAGCGCTGCCGCCTCGGTTGCAAGGATGGCTGGTTGGGTTCCTCTTGTTGCTGGTGGGTTGTGGATGATGCTGCTATAAGCTGGAAACATCGATCGACGTGGATGTTTGGAGGGAACGAATAGGGCGTTTTGACGAAGCGATAACGACCGAAAAAAAGGGGGATGATCATTCTCAAACCCCAACCGCCGACTGGGAAAGCTCGGCTGGTTGGTTAGCTGACTTGAGATGAGATAAGATGAAATAATGGGAGGAGAGATCACAAACTCGTTTGTATGGCTGTTAGGCCCAAAGACAACAAACAACGAGAAGCAAGATGTATTTTTGGGTATACGAATGTCTACTAGGCGTTTATTGGGAGGAAAGAAGGATGGATTTGGCATTCTTTTGTTACAGTATTCCCCCGGCGCGGGCGACGGCAGGCGCGCGTTTTCACTTCTTCATTTCTGTCGATTTGTATATACCTCTTTTCTTTCTCGTCCTCTGTTATTCTCGCGAAAATGAGATGATCGAATTTTGAACAAACCTGATACGGATCACCGGGCGTCTTTCTGAGAATATTGCAAATGGAATGCTTTGTCTGACGCGAATACCTTCGAATTCTCCAGATTGGCATCACAATGACATTGTTTCGCAGTCTGTGGGTTGACCAATGTTGTTATTTTCAATTTTGAGAAAGGACCTTGGTCACAAGTTTCACTCAACTATTCGTCTCATCAGCCGATCGCACCGTTTGCTCACATCGGATGATCGGTTCGGCAACAGCCGGGCGCCTACTCGAACATGTCACCAAAAGATACTGCAACCGCCATATACGTGGCGAATTAAGAAGGACGTATTGGCGAAAAGCCCCTAGATGTGGTAAGAGTTCAAGATCATCTGTATACTGAACGTGCTCAGCTCTACGCCGGCTAGGCTCACTGGTGCCATATGATGACTGCATTAACCACCGTCAAGTAACCCCTTTCTCCTCAAGATCCCTTGCTATAATGATATCAGAACCACGCATCAACTCCTTTCCGACTTTTTCACGCCCGAATATACGCGAGACACTCCTGAGCAACGTCCTTGAGGCGCTGCTCCTGAGTCTGCCCGATCACCGGAGTCAACCAAGCATCAACTCCCTGCTTCTTCGCCTCCGCTACCGGCTGTGGGCCAATAGAGAGAACCATGCCGAGCGCCATGAGAGCGCGGAACAAGACTTCAGGATCCTTCTGCTTGCGCACGGTTGCCTCGACAATCATGATGAGAAGAGCAATCTCGTCCAAGTTCGCATCCAACTTCCTTTCCCTGTAAAATAGGCAAGCAAAGTTGAAGGCCGCCGAAGTCAGGGCAACCTGGAAGTTGTTGTTCTCGGCGCCAATCACGCCCTTGTCCCCGTCGAGACCGACAATGTGTCCCATAAGGGAGAGGATCTCGCCAGCTTTGCTGGCTACGAGCTTCCGGCCGTCGTCAAGCTTGAAGAGGTTGACAATGGTACGGAGAGCCATCATGACGCTGTTAGCATTTGCCTTTGTTGCGTCAAGCTTGTTGGCGACAAAGTCGCTTAGTGAGCTGTCTGCAGTTACAGTGTCCTCCACGTCAAGCGCTCCTCTGACCGCAATGTCGATGATGTCGCCATAGCGGTCGTCTGTGATGGAAGCCGCGGCGGGCCAGGCGGCAAGACAACGGAGAATATCTAGCGCTGGCAGCCTGTCGGCGTACGGCCACTGGGTGATAAGTGTGAGGAGGATGGGTTTCGATGCGTCCAAGTTGGTCAGCTTTCCGGCGGCAGAAGCTGGTTGAAGCAGCTGCTTGACAAGTTCCTCAAGAATCTCGACGTTGTCGGGATTCATCGCGATATGCTTGTTCCCGGCCTGGATATGTTTGGTGTTGAGCGTCTTGAGTCTAGCCAGAGCCGGTTCAAGTTTACCATTGGTCAAACTGAGGAACTCGGTATGCGGCAAGTATTTGGGTCTCGCAGGTTGACTGTCCTGGCCAGGGATATACCGAGCGTCGGTGCCGTAAGGGTCGCTTGAGGGGGCCTCAGAGGTCTGTCCTAGGGTGGCACCCTGAGTATTTTGTGTGATGAAGTTGGCGACGTTGTCGAGATACGAGATTGGGAGTTCATTATCACCAAGGAACTTGGTGGCTGCGTCGTACGGATTCTGCGACAGGTTGTAAGGGAGCTTAAGCGGTGGCTTGCCGTCCTCAATATCCACATCAAAGACGTAGTCGTACTCCTTACCATTGTACGACACCTTTTTCCCACTGCTACCAGCAGAATCAACGACCGTTCCGACGTGGATCCACTGTTGTTGGCCTGCGTAACATGTTAGCTTGGTTCACAGACTGAGGGCGGGCTGGATGCACTTACCCATGGACCATTGGTAGGCGCCAATGGTGCCATCCTCCTCCCTAATCATCTTGATCTGACCATCCTTGGTCCCGGAATTGGTTTGCATCCAGTCCTTGGTATCAAGCTTCTCCTTGTTGATATTAGAGCCGACCTGTTGCTGTGGGATTGCAGAGTTCCGGACGGACTCTTCGAACTGAGCGATGGTTTGGGCGTCCGCTGTCCGGTCAGCGCTCCGGGTGAAGACACGAACCATATTGTCGCTGGCACCGGACACAATGTCTCCATTTTCGGGACAGACGGCAACAGTCCACACTGAGATGGCAGGGTGTGTAATAGTCTGGATGCATTCGGAGCCCCTCCAGATTCTCAAAGTGCGGTCTTCTCCAGAACTAACAATTTCGCCGGTAGGTAGGGCGGCAAGTGAGTAGATGAAGCTGTCATGGCCTTGGAGATTTCCCACCTCTTTCCCTGACAGCTTCCACAGCCGAATGACGCTATCGTTACCGGCACTGGCGAAGTCAGCACCACTGGGGTGCCCCTTCAGACCCGAGGGGAGCTTACACAATGCGCGCACAACATCACCGGTACTGAGGGTGCGTGAAGCCTCGATTTCGAGGCCCGTGGCGCCTTTTAGTCGGAATATCCGCACGTTATTGTCTGCGCTGCCGGTAATAATTGTATCCGCGTCGTATGCGAGAACAGTCCAGACACCCCTATTGTCCATGTTATGGACGAGCACATGGGCCATCTCCCAGGTAGCAGTGTTCCAAACGATCGCTTTGCCATCCCAGCTGCCAGAAACAAGCCATTTGCCATCGGGCGAGACGTCGAGTGTGCACACATTGTGACCATGTCCAACTAGCAGTCGCTCGGCATTGATATCGGCTGTCGCATTCAGCTTCTTGACCTCTATGATGGGCTCGGCGCCGCCTGAAACAACCAGGCCGTCGGGGTATTCGCCAGAAGGTGGGATGAAGGTGAGAGAGTTGATGTAGCCATGGCCTTGGCTAACGATAGTGTCGTCGAAGGGTGACTGGCTTGTCGCCTTGCGCCAAAGTCGAACAGTGTGGTCTCGGGAGGCAGAGAGGACGACGTTAGCTGCTGGAAAGCTAACTGCCCGAACCTGGGTGACGCAAGTGTTAGCTTTGAATGACGGACCTCTTTGTCGCCGTACTAACATCGGATTCGTGGCCCTTTAGTTGGGCTGAGAGCTTGAAGTCCTGCACCATCGTTGTTGTTGACGGGACCTCGGCCGATGGTGATGGGTCGAAGATGGGGGCGGGGCTCAGTAGTGGCGGCGAGCGTGCTCCTTGGAGGTAAGTCGACGATGGGACAACGCAGGCGTAAATATAAATCGTGGTTTCGTGCTTGAGCAGGTTGAAGGCGAAAATAGCAGGTGAATGGAAAAGAAAGGGACGCGCTTGATTTGTAAGAAAGCCGATGGTATACTAATGTTGGGAAAATAGAAGGAATGGAATTGGGTCGAAGTTCCGATGGCAGGAGCGGTCCTCAGCTTCCTCCATACGGACCTGACAGATGACGAACTGGAGTTGCGGATACCGCCCGTATCGATATCGGCAGGGGCGGTTGGCGGGGCACCGCTGTTGTTGGACGTCGACGCACCTGGTAGGAGGCGGGGGAGCTTGAGCCACTGATACCCGGGAGGTTCGTCTGGTCAGACCTTCCCTTGCCCTCTGTTTACAAAGTTGAGGTGACTGAGCCTCACCTGCAATCACGTTTCATCTGGACTGTCTGCCCTTCTAGTCTGATAGTTCTGGGGTGTGAAGGTATTGTAAAGGGTTACGATTGTGTACGCCTTGACTTGGAAGCTCAGATTGACTTATTATCACAGCCGATTCACCACTCGTGTCACTAAGCCCTGTAATTTAAGAGTACGTAGAGGTATCACCACAGTGTATTTACTACGCAAGTATTCGGGACATTAGCCCTTTCACTGCTTTGACGATAAACCTCCCTGGTGTCGTTGGTTCCTTCAATTTCAACTGGCGATAGATCCTGGGGCTGTCGTCTCATAGCACCAGCACCAGATACGAAGCCGCAACTTCTCGGTGGGGATATTGGGCATGGATGCCTGCCTGCCGGTGGCACTTTCAGCGGGCAGTCCCTGGACTCCGCAGGGGCACCTGTGACGGAGGGGACACCCTGACGGCAACCAGGTGCCACCAGTGCATCGCCCCCGGCCGTCGCAGCTAGAGCAACGCCAAACTCATTCTTTCTCCTCTTTACTCCTCTACGCAATCCCATCCTTACTCTTGACGGCGCCACGAGATATGACAACCACTCTGGCATAATCTCTCCATTTCTTTTCCGGTTGAACATTTGACGATTTTGGGATCTTTCTCTTCACGACCGTTACGCTTTCCATTCCTTTGTCCGACTCTTCGACTCGACTTGCGAAACTGACGATAGATTTGCCCCTCCTGGCTTTTCTCTACACGCCGTCATCACCAACGTTTTCTACGATACTCTAGGCCGCCTCTCCACGCATACTCCTCACTAATCGACGGGACTCACCGTCTCCATATCCGCTCCAAGGGACGACCACCGTTCAGGTTTCGCATATCCTGCTTCAGTCCTTACATATCACGACATCACGATCCACAATGACCGAACCCGCGCGCCGTCAGACAGTCCCTTTGACCTGCCATGGCCACTCGCGGCCTGTCACCCACTTGAGCTTCTCACCGCTCGAAAAGGAAGATTCCTACTACATGATCTCTTCTTGCAAAGGTACGCACGCGTCTTTCATACATGATCACAGTTACTGACGTGGCTCTTCCCTACAGATGGCAACCCAATGCTCCGCGACGGCCAAACCGGTGATTGGATTGGCACCTTTCTAGGACACAAGGGAGCTACATGGCAAGCAAGGCTTAGCCCTGATGCATCGACCGCTGCGACCTCGTCTGCGGACTTTAGTGCCAAGATTTGGGACACCCACACCGGCGAACTGCTCTATGTCCTCAAGCACGACCATATTGTCCGCGCCATTGCCTATCCTTACGATAACTCCGGACTGCTGGCAACTGGTGGATACGAAAAGAAGCTTCGCATCTTTGACCTGGCGGATCAGAGGCCGGCTACTTCCCCATCAGCCACCAGTCCCGAACCAGTCACGATTGACGCATCCAAGGCCTTTGAGATTGGTGAAGGGGTACACAAAGATATCATCAAGTTCATCGTTTGGGCTCGCGACCCCAACGTTATCATTACCGCGTCCGGAGATACGCTACGCTGGTTTGATCTTCCCTCTCGCCGCTGTGTGCGCGAGGCAAAGCTGGAAGGCGAGATCAAGTCTTGCGAGCTGGTTTCCCTCGCGCCTTCGCACAGCGCTCCCACCGACATTGGCGGCGGTCTCCCTGTCCTTGCGGTAGCTGCGGGCAAAACCGCCTACTTCTGGGGTGGAAGCCGGGCTGAGGACGAGCTCAAGAGGATCACGCTTCCCCATGGAATTGCTAGTGTTGGGCTGGACCTGAAGGGCAGGAAATTTGTTGTTGGCGAGGAACCGGGTACTTGGGCTCGCGTCTACACCTGGGATGAGGGCAAGGAGATCGATGTGCACAAGGGCCACCACGGTCCCATCTGGTCCATTGCGTTTTCTCCCGACGGCAATCTGTATGCAACAGGGTCTGAGGATGGCACAATCAAGATGTGGAAGAACTGCGACGGCTATTACGGGCTCTGGCGCGGGGGTGTATCCGGCAGTGGCACCGACTAGGAGAAGAAGCATCAATGCCCCGATTTAGGCTCAGCGAAGGAGCACTCTTCCACACAGACGACGGGTGTACTCAAGGATATCACCAACCAAGGCGTTGCTGCGCCTGGTGTTCCTGATCTCCTCAGCTTTGAGGCTCCGGTCACAACCGCCGTGAATCCTCACTCTGATCTACTCCTCAGCTATTCGCCAAACAAGTACGATAAGCCACTGTCACCCGTCCGTCTGAGGCGTCACGCCAACAAGGCATCTCCTCTCAGGTTTGAGATTGATGTCGAGTCGCCCTCCGATACCAGTTCCGACCTTTTGCTCAGCTATTCACCGAATAAGTACGATAAGCCCTTGTCGCCTGTTCGTTTGACACGTCATTCCAGACTGGTATCCAACCTGCGTTGACCTGTGTTCGGAATCCCACAGAGAAAGCGCCCGTACCTTGGGTTGGGGCTAGTTATCTCTAATTACGCTGTGTTGTTTCGACAACATCTGGGCTGGCGAGGTCTTCTAAGGGTATAGCTGTTATGCCGAGAAATACTTAGTGCGCAAGGCAGGCGAGGAGATCATGATTATAGATGGGGTGGACTCTAATATCGGCAGATAGACTGCCCCGTATATGGGGGTTTACGTGGGATTATCCTATCTTATACCATGCTGGTTATCATGCTTTGCTCATTTATGTTTACCAGGTCAGGGGTGAAGATGGTGAGGGGGTCATAATTCGTTGGTCTAGCCCACTCGAGGCTCGACTACAACTTGAAATATACCAAATAACCAGCAATCCGTGTAGTGTTCCGAGCCAACGTGATGTTGCCGTTGGTGTGCAGTTTCACAAGAGGGATGTGGCGAGTTTCAGAGACACCTGATCGAGCAATGACCAAGTCGGCATATTACATCATCCAACTGCCACACAATAAACTGTTTCCCATTTGTGGTTTTACCCTACATGGTCATGCCACTGGACCATTCAGTTGCCAATTGGCATCCGCTCACGCCGCTTTGACTCACTTGCCGGACAGGTTGTGTGAAAAATAAATGCAATGCACATACGCCGAAGGACTACGGAAGTCCGTTGCATTTATTTCTCACATATCCTGGGCCCGGGCTTGTGTAACACTCCTTCCCCAACTTCAAGGGACAGCATCCGTTTAAAAGACGAAGGTGCCCCCAACTTTTCCATCTCCAATCTTGAGACAAACCGATTCACTTGACACGACATCCTCTTCCGCCCTGAAGTCACTCCAATGCTATCATAGCATTTGCCAAACACATAATCATACTAGACTGTCAATCTTTCATTTCCCCACCATGGGTCGCAGCTACGACAAGGCCGCCAGGGCCACCAACATCGAACCTCCCTTGCAGTGGACCGACCAGACCACGCACAAGTATTGCGGCAAGACAGACCGCGGTCGCATCGGCAAGCCAAACAAAGCCCAGAAGTGCGACGACTGTCAGGCCGTTAAGGCGCACCAGGCCAGGCAATCCCAGAGGGATACGGACATTCGCCGGCAAGAGAAGCTGGAGTGGACTCTCAGTTACGATTAACTGATCGCCGTTGATTCCGTCTCCAAGACACACCAGAGCACCCCAGGAACCTTTCTTGCTGTTTCCTTTTTTTTTTCTTCTTTCCCGATTTGCCTTTGCTACGACATCGCTGCGCCGCGGAGAGAAACAACCCCGCGACGACAGGTTACGTGATACGATACTACACAAAATGGACGGCGTTTTTTCGGCTTCATTGATAGACTTTGGTTGGTGGAAGCACTGAGTGTGCTGGCAGTGAATGGGATTTCTTGTAGGACCTGGACCTGCCTGTGATCAGACAGCCACAAGCTAACACCCTGGTAGATATTGAGATGGCGAACTGGCAACAGGTTGGAAACCTGACAGCAGTGGGGGAACACTACGATTGCTTCATTCCGTTTTGATACTATAAATCAATAACAAGAGCTACGTCTCTTTTACCAAGGGATGAATTGTGGCGACCATGTCAGTTATGACGATAACCGCCAGTGTCCGTGGCGTTATGGGTAATCTGATAAGGCTATGATGTCGTGATCAGATTTTTCGACCGTGGGTTGTTCACTGGGAACCACATCCAAGCCACTGCAAGGTTGTGCACAAGAGGAAGCTGTTACATGAAGACCATAACCAGTACAGGATCAGTCAAGGCTTGTACACTTCTTCTGTCGTGCAGAAAATCATAGAATGGATGTGAATGTGCGGCGATCGTTCCAAGAAGTTGAGGCCCAATGTCTGAAAAGGTCTGTCAGTGGTGATATTACTTTTATAAGATGAACTGACAGACTAGTTCTCAACAACAAATCGGACCATATCAGTTCAATCGGGTATGGTGTAGCGGTAACATCGTTGACTCTCACTTCTCAGGAGTGACTGCTCTCTCAACAGCCCCGGGTTCGACTCCCGGTATCCGAGTCTCCTATATCTTTTTTTCCTTGCGAAAAATTCTTTCTTTTTGTTTTTCCCCAGGTGGGGCCTGCAGTGCATGTGATAGCCCCACCAGACTTTGTCTCAGGACCCTTTCTTTTCAGAAATAGCAACCCTTTTCAACCGCAATGTTAAAACCGAGAACACCATGGATTCATGTCTAAAAGCAAAATAGTTAAATTAGCAATTAAAAAGTATGAATTGAAAAATTTTGCTTTTGTAGCAATATCATTTGAATCAGACCCCTTCAAGACTAACTGAACTTGCCATTACTGTTCCCGCAATTGCTTCTATGCTTCAAAGTTGTTAGGATATCGATAAGCCCTCCATGATCGCTTATGACGTCAGTCCTCGTCGCTTCCACCTGCTCAGTCTCCCAAGCCCGGAACTTTGCCCGCCGCCGCGTCCTCCGCACACAGTACTGTCAGACTGACGAACGAGTGTTGTCAAACTCCCCTCCCCTCCTTCCCATTGCCCTACATACAAGTAATGGACTCGAACAAGCAGCCGTTCATTTCTGCTTTTTCTCCTCCTTTCTTCTTCCCTCTCTCACATCTCACCTTCTCCCAACCAGCAGAAAAGAGATCAGATGCCAACTGGCAACACCAAGAAAGTCGTCAAGAAACCAGGTCAAGAAGACAACCTTACCCACCAATCACCAACACCCATATCTCCTCCCCCTTCCCAAAACCAACCACAAGCCAACAAAATGGAACGAGGCTCAGTGGACCCCCAAAAGACAACCAAAATGGCCCAAGAAACCATGGGCCAAGCCACCGAGCAAGCTTCAAGCACAGCCTCGGGCATGACCGACACCGTCGCGGGCGCCGCCAAGCCCGTCACCTCGACGCTCGGCAACACGCTCGGCGGCGTGGCTAACACCCTCGGCGGCACCGTGGGCGCGGCTACTCGGGGTCTGGGGGAGACGGTCAATAGCGCGCTTCCGGGCGGTATGGGAAGGCCCGTGGGGGATGCGGTGTCGAATATTGGGAGTGGAGTGGAGAGGGGCGTGAAGGAGGTGGGGAGGGGGGTGAAGGATGCGGGGGAGATGAAGAGGAGTGAGGAGTGATGAATGAGGTGTGTGTCGTGGAAGGAGTTGAGTGAGTGGGTGAGGCGGAAAGGAAGGAGTCTATGCGTTGAGGGCAGGGTAGGAAAATTCAAAAAGTGGGAAGGCAGTGTTTGGTGAGTTAGGTGTATGATAAGGTGTTTTTTTGGAAGTTTTGTGTTTATAGGATCGGTTATGAATGGTATCAAGGGAATGAATGGGTTGGAACTTTTCTTTAATCGGTCTTCGCCTCAGTTGTTCACTTCTCACATAAAACGATAATGAGACTTTTAAGTGCACACAAACGCCGATCTCATTCTTTTCCCAACGAACCATGAAACAGAACCCCAACGCCTCGTGATCATCATGATGCCTCTATATCCAAACCACTTTTTACCATCCAAACTTCTCAACCGCTATCCTCACATCCAGTCCCTCACCAATCACATCAGCACAAGTATTTCTCACCGTCCTGTTCAATCCATCCGGACCCGACACCACCACCGCGGACTCCAGCCCATCGCTCGCCGCATCCAAGATCCACCCTTTCACAATCCCCGCCACATCCGGCCTCCCCGCCTCCTCCGTCGGCTCCGGAATCACCAAGTCCAATCCCAGCGCGACCAACTCATCAAACTGCTCCTGCGGTATCCAATTCCTATGCGACCTCGAATGCGTCACCCAGAGCATGTGGACTCTCTGCTTCTGCCTCGTCAACGATCCTCTTCTCACCATCTTATCCTCCTCTTCCTCATCCAAATCTACATCCTCGTCCTCCTCCTCCCCGTCCGATAGTACCTCCTGTGGTTGTTGTTGAAGCAAAGCCCAAACCAAAGGAAACGTAACCGCAATCCCACTGCCTCCCGCCACCAAAACGGCACTCCCCGACGCCCGAAGCATATCCAACGCGTGCGAAGAGCCGTAGGGTCCGTCTAGTTGGACGGATACGCGGCTATGGCCCGCTTGAGCGTGGCGGAGGAGGTCGGACGTGAAACCGGAGTAGGAGCGGATGAGGAGGTTGAACCATGCGTGGGTGGGTTGCTGTTGCTGTTGCTGTTCGCCTGAGGTGGTAGAGTGGGAGATATGGGAGATAACGGGGGCGGCAGACGCAATGGTGAACGGGTGGGCTTGAAACGCGTGGGAACTGCCTAGGGAGGGGACGGTGAGGAAGACGTGGTCGGTGGGGTGCCAGCCGTTGAGGATGGATTTGTTTGAGTTCCAGAACTTCCTCCAGGGTTGTTGACTGCCGCTGGATTGAGCAGCACGTGGGATGATGTCCCAGTCTGCTGAGAGTAGAAAGGTCTGGCCGTCTTCCAACACTTCCAGGTCGGCGGTGACGGTGGCCCGCTTAAAGCGCAGTCGCCAGACGAGCCGGTCGAGTACAAAGATGGCGAGTGACAAGCTGACATAAGGCCGGCTGGTGTCGAAGTGGAACCAGAGAAACACGAGCGCGGCGATCTGGAGCAAGACGTGTGAGGCGAGGAAGAGCTCGTACCAGCGCTGCCGGAAACTTCCCAGGGAAGTGAAGTAGATCAGCTCAAACGACGTGAAAGCGCCCAGACCGCAGAGGATAAGCGGATGTGTGAAGTACGCCCACGCGGTCTTGGACGCCAACATCCAGTCCTCGGCCAGGACGAACTGCCAGGTGACCATGCTGCTGAAGTGCACCAGCGCCATGAAGCACATCATCTCGCCGACGCGGCGGTGGAAGATGTTGAGCGCTTCGTACGAGTAGCCGGTCAGTAACCGGAGGGGCTGGTTCTTGGCGCTCAGGAGGTAGAGGAGGGGGAGGTTGACGATGATCATGAAGCCCATTTTGTCGCCGAAGACAAAGAAGAAGTCCCAGCGGAGCGGGATGAGAAGCATCTGGAAGAAGACATTCAACAAAATCCAGAAAGTGATGAAGACGGAGGTGCCGTTGCTGGGGAGGGTGCGGTTGATGATGGGGATGGGTGGCGGTTGACGGGCGAGCCAGGAGGAGACAGTGTTGAAGATGGACGGCTTGCGGTCGAGACGGGTTGAGTTGATGGTGAGGCTGGATGTGCGCCCCCTCAGGAGTGGTGATCGTTCGACATCAACGAGGTTGTCTTTCCAGTCGCCGGTGGGCGTGGATGTGCCGGGGCTGGACCGGCTAGATGATGCTGGCGAGGAAGGCGTTTGTGTCGTTCTTGTCGTCGTCCTCGTTGTGTGGGCTGAGTCTGATTTTGTCCCCCTTATCCTAGCCAACCACTTTCGTCGGTCATGTCTGGATTCGCGCCAGTGCCAAATGGCGAAGACGAGGATGGTGAAGAGGACGGCAATGTTGTAGCAGCTGGCAATGAAGCGTGCGTCGTACATAGCCTGGACAAGCTTCAAGAGGTATTCGAGCTTATCTGGGGGGAGCAAGTCAAGGGGGTCGCCGCCCTCTTCACTGCTGTTCAGGACATCTCTGACTGCCAATATCGACGACGAGGTTGAAGATACAGCGGATATGGTGTTGCGCAGAGCGTCCCGCGCCCATGCGCCCTTTTGCACGTAGTCCATGAGCTGGGGATGAGAACCAGCTCAATGGTGTTTCTGTCTTGAAGCAGATGCAAGGTGACAAGCCAGAGGAGCTCGGATGAAAGGCTGTGAAAACGGGATGGGAAAGACGGACCACCGGACGTGGGAGGCAAGGGCGATGACGGGATCTTATCTGATCATCTGATATCTAGCGCACATTTTAGCGTGAGTCTACCTGTGGGGTGCTGTGGAGCCTTGTAAGCGAACCGCCTCTTGTCAGATTGGCACCACTACACCAAACTGGCAAAACTGGAGCTCCGAACTTATCGGAGTAGTAGCTCAATCAGCCAACCTATAATCTGACACCTCTTGGCGTGCGTTAACCGCTGATCAGGCCCTTTTTCGGGCGCTAGAAGCGCTACACAAAAAGGGGCCCATCATGCTCAGATACGTCCGCAGTGGGAGAATATTCTGTGAAGGGAAACATCAGAACAACATCTCGTCTTCGTCTCCTCAAATGCTTTCTTTCCGATTCTCTTTCAACGCCTTCGCTCTTCTCCATTTCAGCCCTCGCTTCTCAATGAGCATGGAAAGCGGCAAAGCCATCAGCATGATGATGGCAAAAACTCCGAAACACCATCCGGAGCCAGCTGCATCTGCCAACGGTTGTTGTGAGGCAATTGCGGCACCTGCTCCTAGGCATCGAACCAAGTTATATGATGCCTGAACGGTAGCGGAAGTATTGGGGTTGAGGTCCGTTAGGAGTGTTCCGCAGAGCTGTCAGAGGGAGTCAGTCTACAATCTCTAGGCGATTATGTTGTCGCTATGGTGGAGAAGCCTTACCGTGAAGATGCTCGATGTTGCGGCGCCTGTCAGGAACTGAAGGACGAGTGGCACTGCGAGGTGCTGAGGCCGTGAAAAGAAAGATTAGCATGGTTTTTGGAGATATTGCTTGTTATTATTTGCTTAATTCACCGCTTGCTCATTCAGGCTGACACCATAAGCAGCAGATCCGACCGACGAGACGAGGATGAGGGTATAAATCCCGACGAATCGTGCTTTCTCAATGGGAAAGTCGGATATATCCTCGCCCCTTTTATATTGGCCCTCCCTACCGGCCTTGGCAGAGTACTTCTTGATGTTCCTGTCGAGGAACTTGCCTAGCAGCATATGTCAGACATCGATCATCTCTCATGATACCCCAGTTGAAGCCCAAAAAGGACGGACTCAGGGGCTTCACGCTTACCAGTGGTATACGATGCGAGTGCGCCGCCCACGCCCGATGGAAGATAGATCAGCCCAGCCTGGAGATAATCCAGGTCGTATATATCGATGCACTGAGCGGCCAATGACGTCTGCAATGTCATTTTGACCGCGTATGTGATCGACCCGATCAGAATCACGACCAGGTTACCCTTGAGGAACAGCATCGGTATGCATGTGAAGGGGTTCGGGATATGGCACTTCTTCGCCTTCTTGGTTTCTGTGAGTTGCACAACTTGAGCTTCCACATGCCCATCATTATTTGCATGCCTGACTCTTCGCTTTCGGGAAAACGTCTCGAAGAGGCTCTTGTGGATGTCTCTTGGCGGGATGCTACCATTTCCAACGACCTTTCTCTGGGTCTCCGGCATCAGCAGGATGACAAGGACCAGATATGTTCCGGTCATGATGACCAGAAACCAAAAGATCCATCGCCAGCCGAGCTTCTGGGCAAGCACGCCGGCGATGACCGGACCGAAGCTAGGGGCGGCGTTGGTACTACAAAGAACACGTTCATCAGCGCTCAGACGGACATGTTAACATCGTGATGATGGGAACGAACAACAATATCAGCGAGCCCACAAAGGAACCACGCTCCGCGACAGTCGTTATATCAGCAATGATTCCATATGCAGCCCCGTAGGATCCTATTTCGTCAGCATCGTTACTAACCAACTGTATACCCGGTGATCACTCACCAGAAGCCCCAGCACTTTGAACCATCCTCAACACGAATAACGCAGCATAAGAGTTCTGCAACGCCAGCCCGACATTGGACGCCGCAACCAAAATGAACATGAGGATATACGCCGGCCTTCGTCCTCCTTGATCAGCAATATCTCCCATGAACGCCGGCGCGATGCCTGCAACGATCAGATAAGAGGTGACCGTGAGGTTGATCAGCGAGACGGATACACCCAGATCATTTGCCATTGGAACCAGAGCCGGGAAGTAGATGTAGCTGCTCAGCGTCGAAAACATGGCCCCGAAGGAGGCAGTGTAGCTGATCCATTTTTTCTCGGCTGTAGTGAACACGGAAAACGGGGGTGATAGTTCTGTTGAGGATAGTTTTGGAAGAGCTCCTGCTGTGGTGGCTTCGTCCTTCTCGGGAGAGCCAGGGTCTACCACCGGGTTATAGACTGCGACGCTGGCTATTATCTCCAGACACTCATTGACGGTAGTCAAAGGCGGTTTTGTTCCGAGTGGTGGCGTCGACATCTTCGTTTGCTAGCGGCGTCGATCCGTTCCCAGATCTGAGACGATTTCGTGGCGGCCGGTGTAGAGGCAATGGTCAAGTCAAGATGGACCGGCGAGAAAACCTGCAATTGTCGACTCGGGGAGACATTGTGAACACTGCGACCTTGAGCGGGGCAGCGGAGGTATATTCTTGCCCCAGGAGCGGGATAGGAAAAGCGGTAGGTACTTAGGCCGGACTTGGATGAAAGCAAACTGGGTTGTCCGACCTCGCCGGCACCACCACGGGAGGTTCCCGTCTGTACGGGCGGTTGTTACAAAGATGAAGTTGATTAGCTGGAGGCTTCCGATGTTCTAATGGCTAGTCGAGGGAGTCGCGGCCGAGTGGTCTTTGGGTACAGGTATAACCAGACATTCCGAGGCGAATGCCATTGCTCAAAGCAGAAACAGCTGGTAGTTGTGAGGAATCGGTCTAGGCCATCTGGTTTCGCCCAACAAGGTGACTCCCAACAATGTTTGCTTTCGGCACCAACAAGAAGATGGAGATGGTGCTGGGGACTGAGTGACGTTCGAACCAACTGTTAGTATATATGCATCCTGACACTCTCACACTAACATCTGCAAAGTAGAGGCAAACAGGGGCATTGCGGGGTACAGGACACAACCACATGTTGACATGCAATGAACCTACCAACTTCAAGCTCCTTCCTCCCTGACATCGAATTCCTCCAACAACTCTCCCATTTACTTTTGGAAAGAGCGAAGTCAACAGACTACCATGACATAACAACTTTAGGACGCCGGGAGGGAAACGGGAGCTACACGAAATGGCAGCAACACGTTATTCCTGCCCTGAAATATATCTCCCAACTTCTCTGGCACCACGGCCGCCCTCATTCGATGTCGGGATTGTCGGCCCTGCACAGTAGACTACAAATATACCATGCAAGGAAGCGACCCCAACCCCAACTGGGCCTTCGACCCGAGCCGCCCAGCGGTTGCTACAGTGCGGCTTCTTGAAGGGATACCGAACGGATAGGCGTCGGCGACTATTGATTGAGGGGACGCGGGGTGAATGGAAGCTGTTGGTGATGTGTGGCACGGTATCGGAACTCCACGAGCACAATTGGGACCAACGAGATCAAGAGGACACTGCCCAAAGACTGTTCAAGCCGACATACCAACCCCATCCTTCGAACTCCTCACTGGCTTCGAATCTTGTCTATACAACGTCATGGGCGATTCAATAGACATTTCGTCCTCATCTGGACCCATCACAGCAAAAGAACTCGACAGCAAAGGACGTACAACACCAACAGCATGAGGGATAGCGCGCAACTTAACGGTGGCAGCGCTTGACCCGGCAGTCATAACAGGTGCGCATCACGAGAGAAGGGCCGTTGGGAAAGGTCAAAGACACCGCCTGAGGACCAACTGACGAGATATCAGCGCTTCCACCCAACAGCCAAGTTGTATCAGTCAAAGAAATGGTTGGCAAGAGCTCTTGGGCGACAACATCGAGGATCACGATTCGCTTGCCAGATGGGACGAAAGCATACCTGTTTCAGAAGGTTGTCTGGTCCACTACCCGCTTCCTCTCCAGACGCTGACATAGCGATGCATAGGCAGCTTGCGGGAAGACAGCGGGAGCAATAATGAAGGGAAGCTTCGAAGCCGACATGGCTCTCTTTGCCTTCATCCCGACACGCGTTCCTCGTCCGATCGCACAAGGGGCATATGTCAACTCACCGAACACGCACTTCTACCTGTCCGAGTTTATCAAGATGCGGGATAACAAGCTCCCTTGCCCTTCTTCCTGGGCCGCTGCTGTATCTGATCTACACCTGAACAGCATGGGTTGGTCACCGACTGGGAAATTTGGTTTACCAACGACCACACATCTGGCCGATGTCCCCGTCGACAACAGCTGGAATGCTTCGTGGGAGAGCTTCTGGACCCAGCAAATGAAGAGCCTGTTCAACCAAGAAGAGAGAGTTAATGGCCGCAACGAGGAGGTATCCGTCCTTCGGACAGCATACCTAGAGAAGGTGATTCCCAGATACTTAAGGCCTCTGGAAGTTGATGGAAGGTCCATTACTCCTTGTCTCATCCACTCTGACCTTTGGCCGGGAAACATCAAGCCAAGGGCAGACACTGACGAGCTGTGTATGTTTGACGCTTGCGCTTATTGGGGCCATAATGAAGGTATGTGGTTGATACTGCAGCTCCACGGATCAAGGAACTGACAGACACCGTAGCCGATCTAGCTATCTGTAGGAACCCTCGCTACAAACTTGGCTATCCGTGTGTACACGAGTATCAAAAGAGGGTGCCTGTCTCCGAACCTGAGGCCGATTTCGACGCTAGAAACGCCGTATACGCCCTCAAGTATCACGTCTTGCTGTCAGCCATGCACAGGAACAAGATATTCAGAGACGTCTTGATAGCTGAGCTACAGTCCTTGGTCGACCGCCTTGATTATGACACGGAACCAGATCACGACCAGCCGTAACGCCTCTAGCAGAAACGACTACCATACAAGTACAAAACGGTTGCGAGTTGACTGGCACAGTAGCCGACGAACAAACATAAGCCTTCTCATATTCGCATATGGTTTTCTTGTCTGCTATGTCAATCAGCAAAATACGAGCAACGGGACGGGGCCTTTGAGGGAACATATGGAGGCAGGTTGCGAGCCAGACATCCTTTTCGGCCATGTCGCCCCATGTTTGAATACCGAATGTTTCTATTCTCGTTTCGACAAGAGTTATCTGGTGGTGTTGAGTCGTGTCAGGGTCCAAATGCCTGAAGCTCGCTTGCCCGGGTGTCATTGGTGGCAAACGTCAACCACACCAACAATTGCTTCTCAACCACTACAGACCCCTGTACCGCCGGCAATCCAGACTATGACGTACGCCTGGCGCTTCACCAAGGGTCGATTGGTAGGGTCCTTCCTATGTCTCAGCGGTCGATCCTGAAACCATCAACCTGAAAGGTTGACCTTTCCTTGTCGGAAGTGGTTTGTAGCGATACATAACATGGGACATATCATGGCATTGTTGGCCTCATGTAATGGTTAGGCGTCAAAAAAGATGATCACTCACAAGGATGACGATGCTGCCGCTCCCTTTAACAACACCTTTAGCATTGAATATAATGTCGACAGTGTCCCAACATGCGTCGCGCTTCCGTCTTGAGCCAGCTTTGTCCAACACAGTTCTGGGTCATAACCGCAGTGTCAACGTCCTTGGTGTGGTTCATCCACTGAATGGGGACATCTAATTACGTTTACTACTGAGCACTTATATCTGTCGTCGTCAACGTTTCCCTTGCAAACCTCCCTTTCCACCAGCAGAAAACCAACACCATAGGCCGTGATCATGCGACATCCTTCGACGTTTGTACCCATAATAGCCTCCATAGTAGCCTTTGTGCTAGTATTACTGGCCCTTATTGCCGGTTCTAGCAAAGGCTTCATGGAGAGCTACGATATCGTCACAGCAAGTTAACCCCTATATCTGTGGTACTTCCAGATATCTAACAATTTCCAGTTCAACACGTCAACTCTTGGACAGAACCTTATCAACCAACAACTTAGCGGTGACCAGTCTGGCTCAGCAGCAGATGGAGTATGTGAAAAGCTGGGTTTTCTCAGCAAGGCCTGCGAAGACGCTACGGGCGCCGTCGGAGACGCAAAAGACGATCTGTTGAACGCCCTAGGCGATATTGAGAACGACATAGCGGACCAGCTAGCGGAAAAGCTGGGCATCCACGAGTTCTACTCTCTCCATGCTAGAACAGTTTGTGAGGGCGAGTATAGCCCTAGCCCAACAGCCAAGGGTGCCGGTAGGACTGTTGCTAAGTGCATCAAGACCTTCCCCAACGGTAAGTGCTTGGTTTCACGTAGCCAAACAACCTGCCTTGCATATACTAACGCGCACTCACAGGCTTCAACGTATCCGACATCCTCGACAAAGAACTCCGCGTCGGCCCCTTCAAGCTCACCCTCGAAGACATCGGCTTCAACGACGAAGTCCAAAACGCCTTCGACACACTGAACCGCGTCATCAAAGCCTTCGCCATCATCCTCATCATCGATGTTGCTCTCACCGGCCTCTCCATGCTCGCCTCCCTCCTCGCCATCTTCTTCCTCAACAGCAAGGAACGGCCCACCCTCATCATCAACGCCGTTCTCTCGAGCATCGCTTTCACCCTCGTTCTCATCACCGGTATCCTCGCCACTGTCGGGTCCCGGATCGCTGCCTCGAAGGCGAACAAGTACGGGGAGGATATTGGGTTGAGCGCCAAGGCGGGAACCAAGTATACGATCCTCATTTGGGTGGCGGTTGGGTTTTCGTTGATCACTTTTGTGGGGTGGGTGTTTCAGGCGCTGAGGTATAGGAATGGGAAGACGATGGGTCACCGACATCATGGGGCGAGAAATAAGGGGTATAGGGACTCGGAGGAGAGTGCGGCGAACTCGGATAGGCCGGTTTGGAATAATAGAGGTATGAGGGAGGTGCAGTTTGCGAGGACTAGGTAGAGTGGAAGAGGATCAGCTAGGCTCAGCTGTCTTTGTTGCTAGGTGAGAGGTCTCGGCGGGATGAAGTTGGTCATTTACGTGACGGAACACATACAAGTGGAGGATTATACCCATGAATTATAGCGGGCGTTTTGGTTTTCATCCCTTTTTCGAGCACTAATGCTTTTTAATAGAGATGTCTGTTCAAGAGAAAGAAAAAGCACGGTCCATTGGCAAAAGTTTGGTTAACGAAATAATGGAAGGAACTATCCCCCATACACCCCGCGACAAAGACCCTCCACACTCTAAAGCTCATCCTTCACTCCTTCTTCCTCCTTCCCATTCCCCTCTCCCTCCTCCCTCTTCTCCCCTCTCCCCTTCCTCACCTCCCAAGCCCAATGCTCCCCCGGCTTCTCCGCCAACGTCCTCATAGCCACCACATCCCCCGCGCTCTCACCCAACTCCATCGCCATTGCATCCGCCGCCAGCCGCGCAAACTCTCTCGCCTTCTCCTCCACCCCAAACATAGCATAAATCAGCGCCGCCTTGGTATACGCATGACCGATATAGGTCTCCAGCCTTTCTTCTCTATACAACTTCACCAGTCTTTCACCCATCTCCGTCGTCAAATCTCCGCCGCCCACGGCCTTGTCTAGTTCCTCTTCCAAGTCTTTGATGGCCTGAATGCGCGCGTCGGACGCGGCGGACTCTGAGGGAGGGAGGGAACATTGGGAACAGGTGCAGTTGAAACCCCAGTCGGACAAACGCTCCTGGCGGGAGTGGCGAGGGAGGAGGCCGTCGATGTAAGAGATTGTGAGTTCTTCTCCCGGGGAGATGGGGCGAACGGCGGTGGTAGTGTGGGTGATGTTTTCGATTCGGGAGTTGAGGCTGTAATGTGTTTGTCAGCTCCCAACTTGGTGGTACACGTACAGAGAACGGAGAAAGAGGGGACTCACTTCGGTCTACAATCATGATTCAACCTGCTCACCTCCGGAAAAACACCAAGATGGCCGGAATAGGGATTTTTTCCGTTGATGAACATGCGGAAGGCGTTTCGGTCGATCTTGGTGTTAGATGTCTTTGCCGTATTGAGCCATGAAGGCTTCCCGTCGGGAGGTGGGGAGCTGGTTGACAGCATCTTGGTAGAAGGACTTCCGGTCGGACGGGGAAAGGTCGATGTGTGGCCCGAATTGGACGACCAAGATGGGAGTGTACTGCATGACTACTTCGCCTCGGTGGATGGTTCGGTTGGCGATCAGGCCAATGCCCTTGCCGGGGATTTCACGGACTTCGAAGGGAGGAGGTTTGGAGTTGGTTTTGGTGAGGGTGGAGAAGGAGTTGAGGATATCGATGTTTCCGGGAGTGCTAATGAGAACGAGGCCATCGCCGATGGTGGGGTTGGCAAAGTTGCAGTATTCTTTGATGCATTGGCTGACTGTCCATGGTGCTGGGACTTGAATATCATCAGGTGCCGTCTTGATCTCTGATGCTGAGATGACTGCGGTTGATATGGCCGACCAGAGGGCAAGGGACCGCATTGTTTTGGACTTTGAGCTGAGTTCTGTTAGCATGATTCATGAGGTTTAGCGACCGAGAACACTCACCGATCCTCCGCTTCGGAGATGAAATGGAGTCAAACGGAGTGGGATAATATCTAGAAAACTGGCATGAGCTCTCACGGTTTATATCTAGACCCTTTGTGTGAGCTCAAGCACCGCTGAAGAAGACTTGGAACGTGTTCACTTGTCTACTTGACATTTGCCTAAAAGGACCATCCTCCGCCAAGGCCGTTACCAAGGACCATGGTGTCACCTATACGAAGCGAGTATTATGCTGTATCATTGGCCTAGCATGTCTGAGTCGAAGTGCGGTCCTAAAGCGGGATAGATTTACCTTGTTGTTTTGGGAAACCGAAGTCATTCCATGATGGTCATTGTACCCCTGACCCATCATTCGCCAACCCCTGAATTTTTAGTTCCTGATTAGGATTGAGTAAACAAAAAAGAACCACGCTCGTAAACCATTCCCCTAGAGGTAAATGACAAGAACTGTTGATATGGGGTTTTGGGTGGTCACTGCCCATTTTGAGTGGTCAATCTAGTATAAAAAGAGGAAACAGCGATGGAAGAGAAAGGAGCGCACAGGAAAGTTTACCTTGTGTCTTCCGGAGCTCTTCCAATGCATCTCTCCAATCCATCTACCCTACCCACCCCTCATCCTCCCCATTAGCAAACTCCATCACCGTCCCCAACACCGTCCCCGTCGCCGACACAGGTACCGCGGCCAGAGCCAACGGCCCCGCCGCAGTCATACCCGTACTCATCCCCCTACTCCTCCCCCTCCCCTCCTTCCTCTCCACCCTCGCCCTCTCATGCCTCCACTTCACACCCCCGGGAACCGGCTCCCCACTCCGCCAACAATTCGCCTCCAAGTACTTCGTCAGGCTGAAACACAAGTCACACCTATTCTCATCCGGCCGTTCGCAGTGTTCACAGCAATTATACCCAACCACTTTCCTTTTCACATGCGAATCCTGCGCCGACGGGTGTTCCTTCAGCAAATTCAACTCCCAGTTTCCGCACTGGCAGCAGGAGAGGAACCAATCGTCGAAGCGCCCCGGTAGCAAGTTGAACCCTTCGAGGGTCTCGACCATGACCCGCTTGGAGTTGTAGAGAACGGTGTCACGCGGGGCGAGGTAGCCGCAGCCTAGGTCGCAGAGTTCGACTGGCATGACCTCGCCCTGCTCGGCGGCGGTGAAGGGTGGTTCAAGGCGCAAATGAAGTGGTCGCTCGACCCAGTGCGTTTTGGATTTAAAGTAAGGGCAGTCGTGATACCAGTAGGCGCCCTGGACGTCTTCGGAGCGCGGGGGAAGCGGGCGCAAGGGACCGCGGATGCCGGCTTTCCAGCGGTGGTTGGAGATCAGAGCGGCGACGCGGAGTTGGGGGCGTTCTTCGGGGTCTTCGTGGGCGGGCGGCTGGGGAGCGGAACCGAGCTTGGCGGCGCGGAGGAAGGGGTTGTCGGGGATGATGAGCTCGGTGGAGGGGAGGGCGTAGTTGGGGATGATGGCCATGGTGCGTGTGGTGGTGAAGCTGGTGGGGGACGGTGACAGTGACACGGCGGTATTAGAGATGACTGGGATTGGGCGTCAGAACCTCCAAGGATGGGGGCCTTCGGGTACGGCTGAGCGTGTGATTAGAGCCATGGTGTGTTTTCCCCTTGGAAGTCAAAGTTTTGTGTTGTAAGTTGACTTGATGAACGAAAGGGGCGGGAGCAGCCGGGGGGGCATATGAACTGTCAGAAGTTTTGGGTTTGCGGACGGACAAGAACTAGCGTTGGATTAACCGGCCGGTTGCTCCTAGTTACCCGAAACGTGGTAGAGGGATCATATAAACACGTATAGCCACAAACGAGAAGCAAGAAGCGTTGGGTAACCGTGACTGTACGCCTCTTTTTCATCTCGGCGATCCAGTAAAGAGAGGCGTGGACGTGCTACTGACGTTTCCTCTGTTGGACTTTAATGTTTGTAGACCACGCCATCGGGTCGCACCGACGGAACCCAAGTCACCCTTCGGTTCCTTACTGCCGAAGCTCTGTGGTACCCTGGCACAATATCACACATAAAGTTCCAGGCATGATACAGGCATTTATATAGAACAAGATATCCGCATCTCCCAACAAGCTTGTCCGAAAATGGACTAACAAGTGACACAAGAAAGAGTGTTTAACGTGCGCCTAGACAGGTATCTGTGTTTTTGTCACGTTGCTCTGTCTTTCAGCTGGGTTTGTTTGTTTTCCTTTGCCTCAGTCATTCTCCGTCTGACCACGACAAAGTTGCCTTTGCCGGAAATCGTGGACAATGGATACCCGAGAAACCAATCGTGGCAATCTCCAGGGACAATGGAAGGGGATAGTCGTGTTCAGAAGGTGTTCGATTTAAGTTTAACAGGAATTCAATGCTTACAAGATATGTAGAGGTACGTCCAATTGCCCCCATTCGGTCCTACCACCTCCCAACTCCATCAGCTCTCACTGACCAAGAGCATCCACATCCTCCGAAAACCCCGTCACCATGGTATATCCAAACCTGGCTGCCTTCACACATCGCTCCGCCAGCTCCTGATGACCCAAAGCAGCATACGCCTCCGCCAACCTCTTCAACGAAGCAACCACATGGACCGCCATCAAGCTCACCTCACCGCTCGTCGTATAAATCTCCCTCGGATCCCAATCGACCGTCAACTTGGCCGGATCCTCATCCCTCGGCACCGCATTAAACCCAAAGTTCCTCAAAACCTTCAACGAATACTTGACCACCTTCCCCCACTGCTTCTTGGCCCTGTGTGCATCCACCAGCCAATTACACGGATAAACCAACGTCAACCTCGGCAGTGCCTCATACACCTCGTTCTCATGCAATTCCTCCAACTGCCTCATCATCCTATCAACCGTCCTGATCGTCGCATCGGGGAAGACGATCGTCCCCTTGCCATTACTACTCGGCTTCTTATCCAGGAACTTTTCCAGACTTAACATCGCCTCCTTCTTCTTCTTCAGTTTATCCCCATCACTCTTTCGTTCACCCTCACACAACCCACACCGACACTCGAACCCCCACCCCTCCTCAAACTCCCTGTTGCGCACATCCACCAGCGTCTTGACGGGTACATACTGCTGGAACAGCTCTTGGCCCTCTTGCACGTCGCGCGTAGCGCGGCAGATGAGCATGTCACCGACAAACGAGCGCATAGTGTTGGGCACGCAGCTGTGGTTCATCAGGCTCGAGTGCGCCCATAGTCCTTTGGCAGCCATGATGCGCGCCGCCGAGTTGTAAGTGGGTTTGGTGTCGTCGTAGGTGGACAAGAAGGGGGCGGAGAAGCAGTTCGTGGTGCGGATGCCTTCGATCATGAAGACGTCTACTATGGGGACGCCGTCGACGATTGTCCCTTCCAGACCGGTGTGCTTGTACCTGTCCAAAAGGTCGGAGCCGGGAAACAGCTTGAGCACGGTATCAGCCAGCGAGGGGTTATCGCACAACTGGCGGACCATGAGCGTGTACAGCGCCGCGGAGGCGCGGGCGGGGTCGTACTGGTTGGGCATCAGCGTGGCTTTTTCGACATAGACCAAATCGCCGGCTTTGAGCGGATGAGTGGCGAAGAGGCCGCGGCCGTGGAAGCCGGAGTCGGCGACGCGGGTGTTGCGAAGGAAGGAGCCGGCGTCGATGTGCACGGATGTAGGGGAAAGAGAGGCGTGCATGGCTGCGAAGTCGTAAGCCCCTTCTTCTTCTTCCTTGACGCGGGCTAGCACCCGCTCGTATTCCTTCTGCACCCCGCCGGCGCCCTTGGCGTTCGGCTTGAGCGCTTCTTCGAAGTACGACTTGCTGATGGCGTACTCGCACAGACTGTAGGCGGCGCGGCCGGCGTTGTAGTAGGCTTTCCAGTCTGTAGAGGCGCCGGTTCGGGAGGCGAGGGCGTCGGATTTTGCGGCGTCGTAGCGGCCTAGGAGGAGGTTGACGCCGGCGCGTTTGGTGTAGACGGGGGCTTTGGCGGAGTCGTCTTCTAAGCCTTCTAGTGCTTCTGTGTAGCTATTTCAGGTCTCGTGTAAGTTGAAGGACTCGGTATCACTGATGAGGGTTCACTCACCAAAATACAGACGTAGGGAAATCCCGTTCCAAGAATGCCTGATCACCCGCCGTCCTCCACTCCGCCGCTGACTTTAGTAGCGGCCCCAGCCTCAACGGTTCTGGGATGATGGAATCTGTAAACCTCAGCAGAATGACATCTGACGGATGATCGACGCAGATCATGAAATCGTTCTCCGCGCCATTCTGGACGTAATAAGGCTCCTTGATGGCAACGATACACCCCTCGGGAACTCCCGACAGGATTGCTGAGTCGCCTTGGTTGTAGATGGCGAGCTTGTCGACATTGCCCCACTGGTCCTCGACAATACTGACAGCACCGGCGCCAATGTAGGGCGGGCTGACTACTTTGACGATGAGACCCTTGCCTCGGTGATGTGTTTCTACGCTAAGTTCACTTAGTGAGATCTGGATATGGTGTTAGTCAGATCTTATCAAAAGAACATAACTTGTGTGCAACGACATACGATCTCGAGATCTCTGATAGACTTGGTAGAAGCAGGGTATGCTTCCGCTAGGTTTGGCTGCTTCACTGCCCTGGGGCCATTGGGAGTTTGGGTAGCGTTTTGTTTCTTGATGTGTCCCTCATGTGTCTTGAAAAGCTGCTCCTTCGTGAGCTTCTTGGTTGGGATTGTCCCTGCGAGTGAACTCTTCTGAGGAGCGGAAGTGATGGTCTTTTGCTTGGCGGCGACTGCCATCTTGAACAGAGATTAGGGTATGGATGAAAACAATGGGGGTATATTGGAAGGCAAAGAGGCTTGATGATTCAGCTAGGTCTACAATATCAAGAAACATGAAGCTTATAACAAGATCAACAACTGTCCGTTCACAGTCATGCGCTCAGACTGTTGTTGAATGGTCCCTGAATTTAAGAAAAGGTGGCATTCTCGGAGGGCAAGCAGCCGCGTATACTGTATTCGACTTAGCGGGATTATACATATTAGCCGGGGGTCCGGTGCCTTTGTGAAGATGTCAGATGTGGTGTTGCCGGTCCGGGGGAGGGGCCGAATGCGACGCCAATCGGAGTGCCTGGCCGCAGTAGTTGCAGCTGGTCAAGGAATTGTTGTCAGATGTGACGGTGCAGAATTGATTGATTGAAGAGTGTGTGTAACTGACTCGCCTAGAAGGTATGGGGGGTGCTGGGGTAACCTAGATATGCCCAGAAATTAGGTAATATTAGGTGGCTAGAGCGCTAACCTCTATATAGTATAGCTAAAACTACTCTTGAATTTAATATACCCCTTTATTTGCAGACCTTCTAAATAGGGTAAAAGTGAAGCTATTTATAAAATTTCTCTTCTAGTACGTTAATTTCTCTAGCCGAATTATGAATATCTTTTAGAATATTATGTGGAATTTTTTTATTTATTTTTATTTCTTTACGAATTAGTATATTCGTTATTCCTATTAATTCCCGGAATCTTTTGTAATCTAATTGTCCTAGAACTTTCGTTAATCTATTGGCTAGTATTTTCTTTGTCTTTAAATATTTAATTTCAATCCTTCCCTCTATAATTTCATATTTTGATTGGTACCCAGAGATATTAATGTACTTTAGTTTAGTTATTAGCTTCACTACTTCAATAATTAATATACGAATTGTTTATATATTACTATAACCGATTATAAGTATATCTTTATCAAAGGGAATATTAATTTCTTTATATAGATGTATAACAGCGATAGTTTCCTTAGTAGCGTTTGAAATTGATAATAATTCTACTTTTATTATTGAAGTAAATAACGTTTTTTATTTAGTTATACCCTAATAAACTAAATTACTAAAGAGTTTAATTGTAGATTTATACGAATTCTTTCGATTTAGAGAATTATCGGCGTGTAATATATTTAAAGCAATTTCGAATTTTATTAATTTATTATAATAATGAGAGAGATTGAAGTAGTATTAAAGGTAGTATAAAATTTCATTAGTAGCCTTACAATATTAAGGATTGAGATTATAATTATAGTGAATTAGTCAGTTGGCAGCGAAGGTAATATTAAGCTGGGTAATTACGGCGGTGTATATTATAGAGTTAATAACGACCTAATATTCCCGGATTTTATTAAAAGAGGCTACGCTATTATAAAGTATGAGCTTTTTGTCATTTATTAGAATGAAGGCGAAAGTGTAGGGATTTTTAATTAATTTAGTAATTTTATAAATATATTCCTGTTAGAATAATTAAATATAGTTTACCTTTCTGTTTCGAATAATTTCGATTATTAAAAATTATTAAAGGTTATTATTATTAATAAATTTATACTTTTCTTCTAATTTCTTCGTAACGTAGGTAATTTTATCATATTATAATTTATCGAAGGCGAAAATAATGTTGTTAATATAGTAGAGAATTAGGATTTTATTGCGTTTGAGGATATATAGGTCTTTAAATAATGGTTTGAACCTTAGGTTTTCGAAAGTCCTATTGAATTTTCGTTACTATAGTAAGGAAGTTCGTCGGAGATTATAGAAGGCTTTAAGGATTTTAAAAATAGTATTATATTTTTAATAATTAGGAGGTATATATATATAAATTTCTTTATTGAAGTAAGTATTAACGAAGGTATTTACTATATTGTATTGAATAAATCGAAATCGAATTTAGTAGCGTAAGTGATAATTAACCGAAATAAACGATTAGTTAACGTAGAGGTATACGTTTCTTTATTGTAATTATATTATTAGTTTCCTTTAATTATAAAACGAGTTTTTACTTTTAATAAACGACTATATTTATTAAATTTATATATGTATATTTATATGTAATTAAGAATTTAAAAACCTTTAGTATAGGGAACGTTTTTATTGATTTTAACCTATAATCTTATTTCTTTATAGTTATTAAAATATATTTCCTATATTTACTTAAAGAGATTACTTAAATTGTAATATTTAAAATTGTAGTAAGTCTTTGGGATTAGAAGGAAATTTTGATGTTTAATAAAATTTAATTTATTACCTTTAGAAATCAGGTAGTTGATTTCTACCTTTATAATCATTTTGCTTTGCCGCTACCTAATTAATTAAATAAGTTTTTTAATATTGAATGCGGCTTCTTATAATTCGAAGATTGGGAAGGAAATAAATTTTAGAAAATTTATTATAAGGCCGGTAATAAGAATAGTTAGTAATATATTTTATAGGGTAGGGTAATTAAATATAAAGTCGATAAATATTTTATTTTAAGTAGTAAGTTATATTAGTTTCGAAATAATTTTATTATTATTTTCTTAAAGTTCGTTATTGAGGAGTAACGGTAAGAAAGAGGTAAGACTGTTATTTTCTATATTTTAGGTTGTGTTAAAGGGTTTAAAATATTATATAAATAGTTAAGGAGGTTAATTAATTTAATTAAATAAATTGATAATTTTGTCGCTAATTAGTTTTAATCCTTCTTTAAAATTATTAGGGTTCCTTAAATAAATTGAATCTTCATTAAAGAATATATTATGAGTATAAACGATACAGTTGGTTTACGGGTTTTAAATTTAACAAATAGAGGAGGTAGTGTAATTAATAAGGAATTTAATTTAGGCCTTTAATTAACGCTTTTTACGCCGTTATTCTTTTTTTATATGGTGCCTATTATTGTATATATTTTATAGCCGTAAATATATAAGTAATTGAAGTTAGGCTTATGGGGTTCGGTTTATACCCTTTTATAATAGGTTATAAAGGTATAAAACCGCTCGTATAGTAATTTCTAATTATAGAAACATTTGAGTAATTAATTAGTAAGGTAGACCGAGGCTAAAACTATTTAAAATTAGAGGTTATAGGGGAGTTTAGCGCTATTTATTATTATATGCGCCTTTTTTTTAATTATACCCCTTAAGCGCTTAATACCGCCGTTTTAAATTTAAATATTAGGTATTAAGGGTTCGAAAATAATAAAGCGTATAATTAATTTATTTTTAATATATTAATTATTAGATTCGTTATTATATTCGACGTATTTAATTTCAATATTATACTGGTAACTAACTATATCGATAATTGAAAGGGCTTTTTTAGTAATAGTTTTAATTATTTGGTTCGTTATATAAATATTTTAAACGAATCTAATCTATTAATAAGTAATAAGTATAATATATTTAAGGCCACCTTTCCCTATGTTATATTCGAAAAAATCGATGGCGAAATATTCTCCTAGGCTAAACCCTCTATTTTGTAATTTTCGTTCAATTTGTTATTTAATTTTGAAAACATTATATATATTATATTAATAAGTAGCGGGCCTTTTAAATTTAGCGCCTTTAACGTTATAAAAGTATTTAAGGATTTAAGGATTGTAATAATTGAATCGTTTATATTAAAATTTGGTGGGCATTTTATATACGCGACGGCCGGTAAAGGAATTAAAGCGATTTCGACGAATAAAGAAGGTAGTGCGGTTAAAGGAGAGGGGTAAGTATTCAAGGACTGTTTAGTAATGGATTTTTTGAAGGAAATAAAAGAGTAAACTATTTAACCGACGGAAGCAATTGCTAGGGGGTTTATAATCCTAATAAAGACTTTACTTTTAAAGTAGGCGTAGTAATATAAAATTTATAATAAAATTAAAGTAGAAAGTTACTTCTTTTAACTATAATTTTAAAATTCCCCTCTTTCTTTATATTTTTACGTTAATAGTCCTAAAGCCTTCAATAAGTATTTGAAATTTATTAATTTAAATGTAGCCCTTTAGGAACGCTATTCGAAATGAAGAGAAATAATTAATTTCGTTGAAAATATAAATAAAAACACCGGCATTGAAGATTATAAAATTTTCAAGTAAGTAAGTATTACTTTTATTACCATTTACGTTGAAAGTATTTTCTTTAATAAGAAATATTAAATTGTAAGTACCGATTTTTCGTCTCCTTTAAATTTTCGAAGTAATAGTTTGCGTAGAGGTAATAAAGTAGTCCCGTATTTAATTCCTAACCTTTTTAATTTTTTTATTAATTTCGGAATATTTTTTGAAATTCTTATTAATAAATTTCTGAATATGGCCGTTTAATTTTTATTTTAGATAATTTTTAATTTTGAATATTAAATATTAATAGTACGTTATTAAGTAAAGCCTTCGCTCGTAAATTTTATAAAGCGGTATAGTGCCTCCTTTTTTTTTTGGCCATAAAGAATCTTTTATATTTTTATCCGCACTACGTTTTTTCCTTGCGTTTACCTTCCGCTTTTTTTATATAATTAGAATTAGGAGCGTCCTTTCTATTAAATACGAATTTTTATGAATTAGAGCGGTTAATATTTTAGGCGCTACGAATTATAACCTTTTTAGAATTAGTTAATAATATAGTACGTTTTAATATATTAACTACTTGAAAATTAATGGATACGTTTTTATATTTTAAGGATATTCCTTCGAATTTATTATTAAACTTCTAAGAGTTATTAATTTAAATAAGGTTATATTTACGGACTATATTGATAAAGTCGGTGAATTATAAAGTAGGGGAAGTTATTTTATTAATTCCGAATTTCTTCCTATTTATAATAAGGATCTTTTAGTCAGATAATTACTTTTCGAAGTCTTTAGGTTACTTCTTTATAGTTTCTTTAATAAAGGTTTAATAATTTCGACGAATTTTAATAATTTGGTCGATAGGTCGATGATTAATTTAATTCTTAATTTCTTTAAGCTAATTGTAGGTAGATTTATTCTATTTAAATAAAGTATCGGTATAGTAGGCGGGAATATAAGTACTTATTTAATTACAAATTCGGGTATTAGCGTTATTAAAGTCTTTCTAATATTTATAGCGAACGTTGTACGTATTATTAATTTAATTATACGTTATTTTCACGGTAATTATTAGGTCGGTAGAGGAGTTAATAATTATATCTTCTTTAATATCCTATTCGGTATAGTATTTATTATTCTCCTCTTCCTCTTCTTTTCCCAAATTTCCTTCCTTATTATCTTCGTTAGCGCCGCTGGCGGCTTCTTTTTAGAGTTAGGTAGTAATAATAATTTTAATAATAATACCGTTCGTATAAGTAGCTGTAATAGTAATGGTTATTACGGTTATAATT